ATGTCATCATTCCGATTCTGATTCTGATTTGCAGGTTGATTGAAACAGAGTTCAGTTAAGGCAGAGACAGTGCCCACGGAACAGACTTGTACTCAATTCACTTCCACATCATGTCTAGTCGCAACCACATTTTCCATGTCCGAAACTTGATGCAATTCTGATCCAGTCAGTACTGATTCAAGGCAGGAAAGGCTTCCTTCAGGCTTTCACTAACAAAAAACTCCCTTCCTTTATACGTGGGTAATGGGTGGGGTATAAATATTAAAACGCAAGTAAATTTGTGTTTTAAATCGCCATAACATTTTCAAATCATTAAACGGACAACGGCGGCTGCTGTACTCGTAATCTGAGTAATAGTCGTATTTTTTGATTCTCTTAGGTCTCTGATCGTAAACACCAAATATCATAAAATGCAGCCGTTTACGAGGCCCTTCCCCTTTGGCCTTTGGAGCTTACGGCCGCCCATCTGCTACGCTGCTCCTCCTGCTCTTGGCATGGTATGCTCTGCGTTGGGATTTGTGTTAATGTGCTGTGAAGGAGGCGCACTCCGACACTTCCCCATATGAATTATGATTAAGTAATCTGAATAGTGAAGGCGTCGCCATTGTGGCGTTGTAGCTATACACACGCGTCCGGAGGGACGTGGGGATGCCGGCAGGTCGTGGGAAACATGTGTCTGGCGGTCCCCCACTCCCGCGTTGGTTTTGTCAACACTTGTAATCCTTTAAGGAGTTCGCGGAAGGGGGGACGCTGAAGGAAAGGACCCATTGTTGCAGGCCCGAGGCACGCCAGGGATTAATGCGCATTTTGAGCTTTCGTTTGTTCTGGAGCGCACAGTTTGGAGTTTTCCTGGGAATCGAGTTAGGAATTAAAACATAAGTCTGCAAGCAGCAGCCGCCACCGCTGATTGCTTTTTTAGATTTTCATTGTGAGGGTCTTATCCCATTAGCGGTAGGAGAACAATGACAGTATAAACGGAGAGCCAACGGGAAAAAGACCGTAAAAAATGCAAATTTTCAGAGCTGATTTCCCGGTGTCTGCTTTTGCCTTTCATTCTGCTGCTAATGGTGGGCTTGGGTCAGATTCGGCGCCATTTGTCTGAGCTCCGTCCCTTGTGGAAAATATTTTAAGCATTGGCATTAATTAAGCGCTCTTCTAATTGGAGTCTGCAGAGAACCGAACCGAATACAACACGTACCACGCAGCACGCCCCACGCCCGAGCAGCAGAATCGAGGCGACATTTTAATTGATTCTGCTGTCATTTGGCAGTCAAGGGAGCGATGTTTGATGCGTGTCTGCGAATGGACGGAACCCAGTGTAAACAGCTCCAGAGTCCTCGCAGATCGAGTTTCGCTTTTATGCTGTGTTTGCCTATGGCGCAGCACCATTTGATAAGTGCATACCCCATTGGTTAATGGCTAGCGGAGCGCACCCCACCCACGTGACCCAATTCGGTGCGCCCAAATCTGGCGATTGTTAATTATGTAAAATCGATAAGGGAAGTAGAGCCCCCGCGCTGATCCGGTTGAAATTTGATAAATTATTTTTGGCAGGCAGTGTTGCGTGAAATGTGAGTTGTGCAACTCCGGCTGGGTTGACGGAAATGAGTCGCAGGAAACAGGACAGAGACAGGCAAAAAAGGCCAGCAGAGCAGCTAAGCAGCTAAGCAGCAACGAACCCCTTTATCACTTCAGTCCCAGACTCAATACGGACCGCGAAGAGCCACTTGAATTTAAACTTGAAGTGGAACTCCGTTGTGTCACCCTTTGCCGTGCCAATGCTTTTGTCGAGGTAACTTCGTTTTCCGACAGATAAAAGCGTCTTATCCATAAAATCCGAAATCCGGTTTATGAGTGCTCTGTGGACCCTTTGGGCGGGCGCCTCTGCCCTCTCTCCCCTTTTTCCACAGCCACGCTCGCCTTGAGTGGGTGCGAGTGAGTGGGGTGGGTATGGTGAGTCGGAACACGAAAGGATTTGCATGTCAGCATCACCATTGGCATGTTATTCTCTGATGGTGCCCGCCGAATGTACCGTAAATCGTCCTTATAAATCGGTTCCCAGCCCGCCACACGCAACAGCTAGCTGTTCTCGTTGTTTCTCGCTTTTAAAGTGAATAATGGATACCACCCACTCTTGTAGCGAACGTAGACAATGTCTGAGCGGAGCAGGGTGCAAACGGTCCGCTTCCAGTCAAATTTTTACTCCTGGCGGATAGCGTATGCGCTGGAAAATTAATATTTAGCAAGAAGTTGACTTGGGGCTCTCCCTGGCTGCTACCGCAACTGAGGCTGGCCACAAACCACAGCAAAGTTGACGAAATTGTTTCTCACGTAACTCAATAAAGGACTTCTAATTTAAATAAAAGCAGCCAGAGCCGCAGCCCACGTCAATCTACAGAGGAACAGACCAACAGGGCCAGGTGCATATACATACATACTACCATTGACGGCAGAAAAAAAAGAAGAGAAAGAATCACGTTCGCTGACTTCTCCACTCCCAATGGGGATTTCAAGGTGACACATGGCTCAGGGATATCGTATACTGCTGACTGGTTTTCTTTTCCACGCAATCACATCAAAGGACAGTCTGAGCTGCTGATGTCTCTCCTGGTGATGGTGTTGGTGCCGGTGCCGTAGTGCCGTGGCGCCTTGGCTTTGTCGAATTCATAAAATATTTAAATGCAAAAATGAGCATGCAAAACGGACGAATGTTTCGCTACATTAGCGATGAGAAACACAAAAGCGCCTGCCACCCCGCACCCGGAGGCCATTCCCGCTCCTTTAAGCATTTAATGAAGCAGCTAGACTTTGGAGCAATTTCGTTAGCTCAGTCGGCACCCGTGGGACACTTTTTCCCACCAACTTAATGCCATTGTTCCCGTCGCCGATAGCGCGCTCAAATGCTCTTCGCCCTATGAAGTTAAATACCTAATGGGGTCGGATGTCCTTTTCATACACTCTCTCCCCCATTCTGGAATTAATGAAACACAAAATACAGAAATCATAATATTCATTCTGTTATATGTATCAAGTCTGAAATTAACAGGGAGTTTTTCTTTCTTTCTTACGATAAACAAATCAAGGACCATTCCAAACATTCTTTGACGGAGTGTAAATCAATACCATGGAAGTGTACTCCATTATTTCGTTGGTCGGAGCGTACATATGTATATATACATGTATATTCTTGATCAGGAGGACAGGAATCTCTATCTGGATAGATCATTCCTTCCTTGTATCAGAATGTTTCCAATCCTGGGGATTGGACTACCCAAGCGTAGTGGAACTTTTAAACAACCATTTGCGACAGCCAGCGTGATGGAAACCATCAACAAATGTACATACATATGTACATGTGTATACTGATTTGATGGCGTGTATTTGTGGTTGGTGGCGAATGGCGTAAAATTGATACGTTTCCAATGACGCCGGGGAAACGGAACCAAGCAACTCCTTGATAGACGAGACGCGATGAGAGCTGTCAGGGGCTGAACGCAAAGACGTCTTGATGGATAGATCTCTGAAGGAAAGGAAAGCAACGGCTCATCCAGCGGAAGCAGGAGTGGGACAACAGAAGCCATCCAAATACGTATGCCAGGCACGAAAAAATTGCTCCAATCAATCATAAAAAAACACTGGTTCCAATTAATCGCGGCGTGGCATCACTTGTGGTTGTTTATGCCAATGGTGAAAAATATTGAGATGAAAACAAAACGACTAGAATCGAGTTTATAACTAAACAGAATATTTCGAAAACATTAAACTATTTTTGAGTCGCATGGAAACTCGCGTATTTGACTTTGAGGTGGCAATATATTGATATATACGTACATATATATGTAAATATGCTTGCACTATGTGTATGTATATGCAAGCTTTATCGTTAAGCTTATTTCTGAGTCAAGCTCCAAAATATGTAAAGCTAGTTAAGAAGAGGCAGTCTAAAACAGATAACGACTGAAGTTGGTAATAAATATCATTTAAGAAATAAAAAATTGCTGAGCTATTATTTTCTCCCGCAAATCGAGTGATCTGCGAGAGTGGTAAACTTTATTAAAGACCAACAAGACTATATTTTATGGGGAGCCGACATATTCACTACGAGATCGAATATGGTGGTTGAAAATGGTTTTATTGTTTTTCGCAATATTTTCCAGAAAGATGAAACCCCATTTTGAAACATTTTAACATATTTTCGCAGCTTTTTTGGCACTCATAAGAAAGTATTTTTAGAACCAGTCTTAAGTCTTAATAAAGCCAGTTTCGACGTCAAGAAAACGTAGAATTTTCGCTTAACCGTTTCTCTATAGATTTTTATGAGCGATACCTTAAACTACGCATAATTAATGCACCTATGCACAAAAAATACAAAAACAGGATATAATTTTGTTTCGACATTTCCTGAGCATTAAAACAAAAAAATTTAAAAAAAAAAATTGAGAAGGAACATTTGAGTTGCTTCTGGGGACGCGACTCTACTTATACCCGTACTCGGTCAGTATTTACATTTTTGGACTTATTATTATTTAAAATTTTAGTATTAAAAAAAATATATTTTACATTTTACATTTTTTTGCTACATCTGATATCTACATCTACTATGTATATTCTACATCTAACATGTAGATTGTACTGAACGAGGCAGAATGTGCGAGCGAGAAAGAGAATGAGTAGCGGGTCTCTTGCTGGAGTAGGTGGGGTAAGCAACTGAAAATTAATTTCTTCATTCTGGCTATTGATCCAATCTTAATCACATTCAGCATTCGGATAGATATGGTAATTCTCTACGATACTGCGTTTTTAGTTTTATCGTATCTTTAAAATTGTGACTGCCACACTCTTTTGCCCTTTGTGGGGGCGGAAGTGAGCGGGCCGAAATTTTTGAAATACACTTGTAATAGTGTGATATCACATGAGCCTGGAAACCAAATTTGGTTGCCCTATCTTCCTATCCGGCCGCTATACATATCTCGCTCCCTCCGCCAGGGGACGCCACTGGGTCAGGGGTTAAGCCACAGTTTATTTAATTTGTTTAATACATTAAACAGGCGGTATGTCCGTATGTACCATAGAACAGATCCAAAACGTAAAAGTGTGCCGAGGGTGTGTGTGTGCGTGCATGGGTGTGTGTGTGTGTGCCGGGAAGGGTCATTGCTGCTCCAGACGGTCCCAGAATTGCAGTAGCTTGATAGCATTCTCCAAGCTACCCGACGAGAGAACCAGAGCGTTCATGTTGTAAATATGATTATCGAAGCCCATTTCGATCAGCTGCTGCAGCTGCTCGCGATAGCGCTGTTGCAAAGACGTGTACATAGCACTCAAAAATATGGACATGGCCTCAGCGCCGCCCAGGTTCAAGGCGTTGCAGGACGACTTCCAAGGGTTGGGCAGAGGTTGTCTGTTCTCGAGTCCTCGCTGGGAATTTGCGCCATTGACAGGGCCGTGTGAGAATTGCTGATAGGTCGAGGCCACAGTATTCTCGTAAGATCTGCGCAGGTTGCTGTCGATGCGACCGAGCAGATGGGACCCACCAGGGACGAGCTCCATGCGTTTTATTAACATATCCCGTCGGTTGCGATCATACTCCAGCTGGGCCGGACTGGGGGCCTGCGAAATCACCGCGCACCATTTGTGAGTGCTCTTGATGTAATGACGCTTCGCCCCATTCTTCTTCACAATGCCCTTCATGCGCGCATCACTCTTTACCAGGAACTTAAGCTGGACCGAATTCATCATATATTCCAAGCAGTTGACTGGCTTCGACCGGATCATACGGTCCCGCGACGTCAGTTTCGGGCACGCGGCCACAGTGGTCGGAGCGCTGGGCGCAATGTCGCGACGGCACACCACATGCACAACGACGCCAGAAGTGATGCCAATGGCGTCGATAGTGCCAGCATCTCTGAGCACCTGACCGCCAAAGACCAGCACAATATTGTGAATAGCCTGCTCGAAACGCACGGCCACCAGGGCACGCAGGTTCCGAACCAACTCCCTCTCGCGCACCGAGACGACTACCTCGAAGAAGCTTCCTTTCGCCAATATGTTTATGGCGTCGCCGCGGCTCATGGCGATTACTTTCTAGTGCCGTCCAGTCCAGTAATATGTTTTGTAGATATTTGGATCGGTTGTGTTGTTGACTGCTGAGCGGAATTTTCCGACTGAATTTTTCTGGCTTGTCTGTCTGACTTGGGTAAGTTTGATTCCTGAAGTTTTCGTTCAGCCAGCTTTGATGGCAGTGAACCGGATACATACTGATGCTCGACTAGCGCACTTTTTTTTTAAATTAAGAGTATCAGGATTATAATATGTGCCACACTCCTTTTATGGGAACATCTTTTCTTAAAAGGTACTTTTACCGCACGTTTAGTTATTATTATTAAATGGAGATAGCTAGCGATGGGCACGAGCTGCAAAACCTAATGGTTATCGACATTACCAACACTAAATATTTACCAACACTAAAATGCCTAAAGAGGCACAAGCAAAACTTAATTTGTTTCTTAGACGGGGCCGTAGATCAACAACAAAAATGGGGCTATGGAGATCGTATCCGCACACATGTCGGACCATTTATTCCATTTCCACTCAGCCTCACTCTGTCTGTCGTTTCAGACGGATCGAGTTTGCAACTGCCTCCACAAGTGAGAGTCAACAAGCAAACAGACCAGCGGCGAGGACGGACGAACAGCACAGGAACAGGCCAGAACCGCGGCGAGGTGGATCCGCTGGTTGGTGAGACTGAGACCCATTAATGTAGCAGCCATGGGCGCCAATACATCGAGCAGAGCCGACGCGAGTCTGCTCGCCGACGATGACGGTGAGTGAGGATGGGGCACATCAAAACAATTAGCTTAGAGAGGGGCGAACTGAAAGCAGCTCGTACAACCCAGTAGCCCAGCCTTGACTGAACATATTGAAATCGCACACGCACGCACCCTACCCTAACTAACAGAGGAGCCGAGGCGGGGCCATGGAGCTGTGGAGAATGGACGAACTGTGCCTGCTGAAAATATTGAAATGCCTTGCTCTGCCTGACCAGCTGGCCATGCTCCAGTGCTTCGAGCGGTGTCGCCCACTCCTGAGGCACATCTGGCGCTTGCAGCTGACCGAGATTGAGCTCAACCTGCTGGAGGTGCCGCTGCAAAAGGACGACTTCGACTTCCTCCTGACCAATGGCCGTGCGCAACTGAACGAGCTGAGGCTCAACTATCTGGGCAGGGAGCATTTTGAGGTGCTTGTCGGGCACAGCTTTCCCCAGCTGCGGCTTCTGGAGGTCGATGTTCTGCCTCCGTTCTTCCTGTCCCCGCGACTCTTACATCAGTTGGGACAGACCATGCCAAGGTCCCCCAACGACAATGAGCTGGCCGACAGCGCCATTCAATGCAGTACTCGTAGCTCGTAGTTAGATATTTTAGGGGGTGCGAACGGTGTTCAATTTTCAATAAAAGTGTTCTGAAATCTCTGGGAACTGATGAGGTCGGTTCTCAAATTCAGTCCGCAGATCTACTCATTGCATCTCTGTTACATTTTCAGTTAATTTTGACCACTTCCAAATACTGCGTGCCATCGGCAAGGGAAGTTTCGGCAAGGTAAGAGCTGCTGCCCTGCATCCCCTGGGACTTTACGAGATGAACAATCTAACATTCACAGGTCTGCATAGTGCAGAAGCGTGACAGCGGCATTCTATATGCCATGAAGTATGTGAGTCGCACCGCCTGCGAGATGCGTGGAGCGCTTGGCGGTGTCATCAAGGAGGTTGAGCTGCTCTCCTCACTGGAGCATCCGTTTCTCGTCAATTTATGGTTCTCGTTTCAGGGTAAGTGCACACAAACACAAGCACAAAGCCCGCACGCAGACAGACAGACAGAGACAGAGCCAGAGCCAACAAACACCGTCATAAGTACGAGTATGCAAATGAGGTTGCCACTGCTACCTTTGGCCGCTTAGCAGCTCCGTTCCTGATTCTGTCTCTGCTCCTGGAACCTTTGCCGTTGCCGTTTCTGTTGCTGTGGCTGATTGCCAATCAAAATGCAAATTAACTCTGTGCATTTCCTTTGAAGCCCGAGACTCTGACATTTATACTCGTATACCTTTCATCCTTCTGACACACCACACCACACCCCACCTCACCAACACCAACACCCCCCATTCGCAGACGAGGAGGACTTATTCATGGTATGCGACCTGTTGACTGGTGGCGATTTGAGATATCACTTACAGAACCGAGTAAGTCCGCACACGACAACTCGCAGCTCTCAGTTCCAGACTCTAACCATATTCTCCCATTGCCATTGCCATTGCCACTCCCACTTCCGGTCTCGGTCCTATATCCGTTCTCCTTTCAGGTTGAATTTTCCGAGCAGAGTGTGGCCTTATTAGTGTGCGAGCTTGGCAGTGCGCTGGAGTACCTGCAGACGCAGCGGGTGGTCCACAGGGACATCAAGCCAGATAATATTCTATTGGATGATGGCGGTGAGTATGCGAAGAACAGGACTGGCTGCGGGTGGCCAAGCGTCGTGAAACTTTGACTTTTCATTTTCTGAGACAAGACCCAGGAAATCCACGTCTATAATTCATAATAATGTCATTGCGGTCGTGCTCAAAAATGTATTGATTTAATTCGGCAAGTTCTGTATCAGTACCCAGCCACAGTACGGCCACTGAAGCTCCTCCGGAGACGGCCATGGGGACATGGCGACCGACCGACCAGAGCTAACAGTCACGCAGGGCGAGGAGCAGACAGTCTGGCGGCTGTGCTAGGGGTCTATTTAATGACATTTAGGTGAACTAACGAGGTGTTCTTGGGGCACGTTGGAGCATATGATCCGCGGTGTATTGGATATGGTATATTGGAATATATGTGGTATATGGTATATATGGTATTGTGAGTGCCATATATTACGGGTATTGTGGAAATATTATGATGCGAATTTTTATAAGTTGCTCTTACCAGTGCACCCTCTTATTCCACTTATTCCACTCAATATTCTCGAATGAATTTCTTTCATGAACATTGCAAACAGCATTAAATAATAATTGTTATTGCGTTGCAAGCGAAGAGGGGGCCATGGGTGAAACAGGACGAGTGCATAGACACTATGCATGTATGCATGAATCCATGCAATGGAAAGCCAAACGCAATTAGATTACCACCCACTTCGACGCCCAGTTGAAGGAGCCACTTGCATGCATAAAGAGAGTCCCGCCCCCACTGACAAGAAATTAATTCCAGGACACGCTCATTTGACTGATTTTAATATTGCGACGAGGCTGCAGAAGGATGCGATGGCCTGCAGCATGTCGGGGACGAAGCCGTATATGGCGCCGGAGGTGTTTCTGTGCGCCCTGGACGAAGTGGGTAAGTATGTCTGCCCAGGCAGCAAGTGAATTAATTCAACAAGACCCATGTCCTGCAGATGGAGATGGAGATGGCGATAATTGACTGCTTCCTGATAGTTTCAATTTAATTACAGCTGGCTATAGCTACCCAGTGGACTGGTGGTCCCTGGGCGTTGTGGCCTACGAGATGCGCAGCAACGTCCGCCCCTTTGTGGTGCACTCGAACACGCCCTTGGCGGAGATCAAGAACATCCTGAACACGCCAGTGCACTATCCCCGCTATTGGAGCAACAACTTCATCGATCTGCTGCAAAAGGTAGGTTGCCTGCGTGCGCCGTGTATCGAGTGATTTTCGTATCAAATCCCGCACCATATCCTTGCAGTTGCTCTCCACTTATCCCGGTGGCAGGATCAGCACTCAGCAGGAACTGCATCAGACACCGTTGCTGCGGAACATTGACTTTCAGCAGGTGCTCGACAAGAAAATAAAGCCCATCTTCAAGCCACCCGAAGATCACCTGAACTGCGACCCCTGCTTGGAACTGGAGGAGATGATTGTGGAGACTCGGCCGCTGCACAAAAAAAAGAAGCGTTTGGCCAAACAGCGGTCGGCCCAGCGAGACAGCGACCCCGAGACCGTGTTGATCAAAGAGTTCATCGTCTACAATCGCTACAAAGAGCTCAAGCGGAAGGCCATGGAGCAGAAGGAGAACGACTGGCAGCGTGAGCTCGAATTGGCCATGGCCAACTCCATAGTCAACAGCTTGGCCCCCATACAAGAGAGGCCCGCCTCGTCCACTTCCACGTCTATTAGCCATGCAACAAACCCCGCGATCAGCACTCCCAATCCCGCTCCCGCGCCCACGCCAGCAGCCACGAATTCGCCATCTGGCAACACAAGGTGCTCCGCCTGCAAAGAGAGTGAAAGTATTGAATTCATTGACCGCACGCCGTCCCCGCAGGGCACAGGCGGCGGAGCTATAACTGCCACCCCGACACGGCTCAGCAGCATGTTGGACAAGGCAACGAGCACGGCACAAAAGTAGTGTTAAACTACGATTAGCACCCGAACCCTCCGCACGGAACTAATAATACATATGTGCGTATGTATCATCGTATGGAAACGCAACAGGTTTCACTGCAAACACAAACAAAAGCCCCACGCCCCAACCCCCCACCACATAGGCCTGCACACCGAACCGCAAGATGATTTGGCTGGCAACCATCCAAAGAGAACCAGAACCTATTTTTCGAGTTTCGCTGAATTTCACCTTTGTACGTGTACTTGTAGATGTAAAATACATAAATACAAATAATATACGTATGTATAATTTGATATATTTTAGGGTATTTCTATTGCTTATCTAAGTCCTAGGTCTAAGTCCCCTTGTACATATGTGTGTATGTATGGTTAGATGTTAGCTGAAATCAAAATAAATGTAAAGAGGCACTGCACCAAGCGGGGTTTACCTCTACTGGAATATGTTCGGAAGAGCTCAATAAAACTCGCAGCGTAATTTCGATTTTTTTTGAAGTTTTTATTTCAAGTTATATTTCATTCATGTTTCACATATTTTTTGTAATGCCTTTCTTTGTATAAAAAAGAGTAAATAATTATGTTCTGTATGTATAATTGTTGTATTCACGCACTTGTTGATCTCTCGTTAAATATATTAGTTTTGGGTTGGTGTTATTATTGGGTTCTGTGTCTGTGTCGAAAGTGGCTAAACACTAACCAAATTACGATAATAATCTAATCCCCTTCTGTATATTATTTTATCAGCAAAATGCAACATGTTAATAGTTTGTTAATTTCTCTGGTTCAATCCGCGATCTCTCGATTTCATTTGTGGGCTTTTACTGTTATGTTAATATTACATTTTACGAATATCATTTTAACATCTTTCACCCATCATTCCCATCTCACCCACCCCGCCGTCAGCAGCTCAACTGCATTGGGGGGTGTGGTGCGGTCGGAAGATGGTCGCTGGGTCTCGTTGCGAAGGTGAGAAAATAGAAAAGAATCAAGAAAGTCCCCAGCATGGGGAACGTTAACTCGAGAAGCGTTAAGAGCAAGTGTGTGAATGATTGTTTCTCAGTAGAAATCGTGTTCCACTCTGCATTTGTGGAAGGAGTATTTCAAAGATTCAATTAAGTTGAATAGCTTACAAGGTTTAACGAATTTTCCTTTTGTTTTTTTTTAAGCAAAAACAAATGCAATTGTTTAGAAAAGCGTCAGTTATGTGTGTGTTCTGTTCTCTTTAGAAAATCTGCTTTTGCTCTTCTCTTTTGGTTTTTTTTTTTTGTTTGTTGTTAGAAGAATGAAGGAGAAGAAACTACAAGCTGCAAAAATGATGTTCCGAGTATGTTTGTGTGTGTGTTTGGGAGATGAGTGTAAGTGTGTGTGTGTATGTAGTGTGTCTGGAGTTCGGCTTATGCTCATTTTTTGTTTGTTATTTTTCGGCTTTTTCTAAACAAAATGTTACTTTTTTTCGTTGAACTCCATGCGTGGCGCTGCTGGCGGACATCCGCCGCAGCCGTTTGGTGGCTGCGCTAAGCGTTTGGTCATACTATACTGTGGTGGTGTCCACAGACTCGATACGTGCAGCGCTCGCGTCTTCGGCCTCCACAGTAGCAGGCTCTGCCCCATTCAGCGCACCGCCATCGACAGCGTTGCCCTGCTCCTCGACAGCACCGGCATTGGCAGCGCCGCCACTCTTTTTGGTGCCAAACTTGACCAGCTCGACGTGTACGTTAATGGTTTTCGTCTGCGCTGGCTCTACAGACTCGGCTGGCTCCGACTTCGCCACAACATCACCCTCCGCACCAGCTGCGACGACCGGAGCCGGAGCCGACTCGCCACCGGTGGTGATGGTCAGCGAGAGATCGTTCAGTGATTTCAACACCTTGTCGACATCATCCTGTGTGCTGGGAGTGCCATTGCGGTTGCCAAAGTAGAGGAAGCACTTGCCGAAGTGGCCTGTTCGAAAAAGCGCGAGTGAGTAAAGAGACACCGTACTCCTCGAGTTTTTTTTTAACTACATACCCTTCCATGCGATCGACATCGGATTGCATTCGCGCTTGCGAAGCTCACTCTTCAGATCCTTGACGCGAATATCACGGGTCAAGTTTGTCAACTTAACGCAAAAGTCACGCGGCCCGCGGTTTTTCTTCTTCGTCTGACGACGCTCGCCAGCGCCACCCTCATCGAACTTACGATCCTCACTCTTGGCACCTCCCTCAACTCCAGACTGATCGCCCTCAGACTGCAATTAAATTAAAGTGTGAATAGGGGATCCGTGTGGCACGAGCTAGTATCAAATTAACCTTGGTTGTGCGTCTGCGGCGGTTGACGAAACGACCCCCCTTTCGACGTGGTGCGCGTTTCTGGGTGTTTTCCTGCATCGGTTAGAAATATATCCATATAATTAATATACACTTCAATACAGATTTATCAATGCTTTTACTTACGCCCTGTTGTTCGTTGTCAGTCTGTGAGGTGGTGCGTGCTGGGTTTCCTCGTTGGAAGCGACGACGCAACGGCCCACGACGGCGCCTATTGTTTTGATGCTGCTCAACATCAGTGTCCTCCGCCTTCAAGGCAATTGTCTTGCCTGATCTCTCCTCTTGCTCCTTGAGCTGTTGCAGAACGGGCAAGATCTTAAGGCGACGTTCGGACAAAATCTCCCAGAAAACACCATTGGGACGGGGCAAGCGCTTTGCAACGCGTATGACCTCGGTGGGCGTTACGATAATGTCCACTGGTGTGTCGTACTTCTGAAACAGATTCAAGGGCAGAGTGTCCACCACCTGCAGATCGTGCACAATCGTGGCTATCACTGTGTCCGGCGTTATGGCACCCAACTCAATGAGCAGACCGATGTCCAGGTCAGCAAACCCATTGCCACGACCAATTCGATAGCCCTCGCGTGAAACTACGACGGAGCCAATCACCACAAGATCAAGTTTCAATTTGCTCTCCAGTCCAATTTCCGTGCGGAAATTGAGAATATCCTGGACGCGCAGAGCCTCTTTCTTCTGTTCCTCGGTGGCGTCGGCTGGTACATCAACCTTAAGGCACAGCGCCGACGAGTCGCGGGTGCTGGGCAAATAAACAGACTTGTCGGCGAGCAAAGCCTGTTCCTTAAAGTCGTGAAGAGCGCGATCGATGTTCACCTTGATGTGCTCTGTGGAAAGAACAAACATAAATGGGTTTTCTATGTAAGTTTTTACTCAATCCACTTACCGGCCTTCTTAAACTCCTCCTCCTGAATGAGCAATGCAGCAGCCTTATCGGCATCCACAAACGCAGGAATCCGATTGAATATGTTGTTAAATCCAATGCCAACCTTGCCCTCCTGGATCTTTTTCCAGGTCTGCACACGAAGCGAGCGCTTTGTGGGCTCCACGGGCTGAGCTGTTGAAGGAAACAATTGGTCCAACATATTAGTTTCGCGAGCATCACATTACACGTAATGCAAAGGTAAAAAAAAAAACCAAAAGAGAGCGGCGGTTGCCGCCTGTTCTTATCGCTGACCCGAGCTCATAGCAGATACATGTTATCGCGCCAGTTTTATGCTGGAATGAAAGCGAATATATTTCGCAGCTGATACTGGAGCTGATAAACCGGTTTCCACGCCCAACAATCAAATATCAGCAATTTAGTCTAAACAAACACTACCAATGCCGGCGGGGGAACTGTCTTTCAACAAAAAAATCTGCATGGAAAACATTCGCAAGGGTTGCCACATGTCTGAATTTCGGTAGTATATGCACATGAACACACACGCATGCATACGTACGTGTATGTGCAGAAATAATGATTACAAACAAATTCTGGTGCACATGAATGCACTTGATTATATGTACTTACATTTGTGCAGAAAAGAATTGCGTGAGCGTGTTTGAAAATTCAATTTTAAAGCATTTAAATATCGATATTGACGCATGACCAATAAGTTGGCAACGCTCTAGCACACATACAGACATACACGCGCACACACACATACACGCACTAAACATTTCTCGGCGATGCGCTCATCAAAACGCGAATTTCTCAATTAATATGTATGCATGTGAGTAGTGATGTGTGCTTGTGTGCGATTGTGGGAAAGGGGCAACCGACAGGCGACAATAATGACATTAGCACGGGCTAAAAACTACACAGATCGAGCAAGAGCAGTCAAAATGTTTGCCGAAAATGATTCACTGTGTACTATTTGCGGTCACCACTACTAAGTGGTAATTGTAAGCAGCCGCAGCAGTTTTAGCATAAGAATGCGCGCCTCGATGACGTAATTAGTATCAACAACAAAAACTAAGACCCCGCCGACCGACATGAAAAAAGCGGGCATGTACAGGCAATGTTTTTGTTGTACTTTTTGTCATCTTCCTACTCTCATCCTTCTTCATCCGTGATTCTTTTTGATTCATAGTTTCGTTTCGGCAATTTGACAACTCATTTACCGCAAGAGCCGCATAGAAAGAAATATGGCGGAATTTTTGACAACTTTTTTGTGCACTGCATGTAAAATGGCCGAATGTAAACGGGGGGAGTGAGAAAAAAGAAAAAATATTCGGTTAAGCTCCCTGCTTCGCTACAATTATGCCCTTGATCCCTTTTAAAGACAGAGAAATAGTGCAATGCACCAACTAAACACATATACGAGCACGACGCAGAATATTTATGATAACATTCTCACACTCGCGCAAAATACATGCAAGTTTTCTGTTCTACTTCGTCACTCTGACGGCAAATACTTACTTGTCGACGATACTTCCTGGGCTGTGTTAGCGCCATTCTCCGCGGCGGCTGCAGCGGGATCTGCGTTGCTTGGATTTTCCATAGTAATTCGTTTATAAATTGTGTACTTAAACTGTTTTTTCTTATTTTTTTTCTTCAACAATTTTTCTTTTTCACTGAACACAAGTTACACGGCAACGTCGTCTTTCTCCGGCTGCTTCCAACAAACCACGTTTCTGACAGTTTTCGATAGGATTGTTGATATTATATCGATGTATCGATATGGGTGATATTTTTAATTTTGATGCAATACTATCGGTACGATATTTTTATCTCTAATTATATCAAGAATCGATATTTTTAAAAACTGGCGATCAAACGAGACTTAACCCATTTAACACCCCTCTATTTAAAAAGTGGAGCTCCCTTTGTTAACCGTGGAAAAGGCTCCTTGTAGCTCCATCCTTCTCTTTACTTACAAAACAAAAATACCAATGATATCTTTCACCTGTAATGCGTAAAATATGTTAAAGTTACATAAATCTCGTGGAAATATTAAATATCGACAATGGGATAATATTCTATTTTATTGATTATTGATTTTGATATTCAGTTTAATATTACTAGCTAGTTAGCCCTCTCAGCCCTAACAAATAATTTTATCCGATAGATAAATCAATTTTCTACAAGATTGGCTAGTTTTCAGAAGTTCTTTTTATTGCATTGTTTACAGTTTCAGTATTTATTGGTAAATGAAAATAATTCCCACTTTAAGCCAATTAATTGAGGAGACAACCAACCCGTCGGAAAATGTCGCGTGCATCAAAAATTGGCCGTAGCTACAAGCTGGAGAGATTCGGAGAACTTCCTCCCGCCACGAACTATTTTTACTATTATTTTAAGCTACTACTTGCTTAAGTTTTACATGTATTTGATATACAATTGTTTGGTTAAAAATTGAGCCAAACTAAGCCCATTCTAGCGTTCCTGTTTTTAGAAAACTTTATTTTTGTGATCAGAGAAAGTGGGATCTTGTTAAATTTGAGAATCGTACATTTATATTTATCTTGGGAGTCCGCCAGATTCATTTGGCCATATAAATCCACGCCAGACCCGAGGTCTCCACTTAGCCGCCGGCCCACCATCAATAACAGATATTTTTTGCTTTTTGTACCCAAAAAATACGATATAAGTGCCGAATATTTTTCTTCACAAGTCCGCTGAGTACCACAAAAATATCCATTGATAATTTTTTAAATCATATCATTAATAAAAACGATGAAGGAGATTCATTGCTGCTACGTTCCCGTTAGGAACATGCGGCTCACACCACGAAAAAGAGGGGAAAGTCACCACAAAAGAGGTCTCTTTAACTCCAAAAAGAGACCAAATATTGAAAAACCACCACGATTTGAGAGCGAAAAGTTTCGGTATTTTTTTGTGCGCTAAATGGAGTTTGGCGGTCATTTTGTTAAGTCTGTTAATATATTGAAAAATAAATATTTGACATGATTTGTTTTGTACCGAAAAGTATAAATTTTCTACCGTAAACGGTCAACCTATCGCACTAAATTATTGTAATGAAAATTGAAACAGAAAACTAAAAAATTTGTATTATATTAATTATAATTTAAAAAAAATTATATCCATATGGACTCTATCCTGTTCCATTATCACTTCCATCGACTTTGATTTTTTTCTACCTATACTTATAATATTTTCATACTATTTCATATCGAGAGAAGAAAACTGTTTCACATCTTAAAAAACTATTTAAGATAAAATTAAAGGCCAAGGCAACTGACTATATATAAACTTAGCTTTAAGCGAAGTCATTGATGCTTTTATGAAAAGTAGGGCAAGGAAAGATTGTAAAAATAACTCAAACCTTTGTTCAATGTTTGATGTACAATAATGTTGTACACACACACACACACACACACAAGCCTTTCGTTACTGCTTTCAACAGCTATCAAATTGAAAAAATGACAACGATACAGAGGCGGTAACATATATTTTGAAATTTAATCCTAATACTGTTTATTTAAGGGGCTAGGTTTTAAAACTGAATTATTTACAAATATTAATTTAAAATCGTAATCTGCTTCAATAGTTTAGACCTCTACGGAGATATGTAATTGCACACGGTATTGTCCCTTCTATGTAGCTAAAAACAACAAATTAAAAATGCTTCCGTCAACGTATGGCTTGCGACATGTGCAGGGGGGTCACCATTAGCGTCAATTCGGCATCCTTTAAGTTCGCTCCTCGTAGATTTGCTTCCTGGAGATCGCTTCCCGACAGATTGCACCGTTCCAAGTCGGCCCCGGCCAGAACGGCAGCCCGTAAATTGCAATTCTTCATGTTGGCATTCTTCAGGTTGGCCACTCGCAAATTGACACCCGCCATGTTACTGCTCTCCAAACAGGCGCTTTTTAGATTAACGCCTTCCAGATTGGTACGCACGCCTGTGGGATCCTCGAAATTGCACCCGCGTAGGTTGGCCCCTTCCTAAATTGATAGGGACCTTTAACCACCAATCCTTTACAGTATTTACTGGTATCTTACCATGTTGGCGCAAAGACCTCGCACCGAAACCAATTGCGCGCATTCCAGGTTCGCATACTGCAGATCCGCTCGCTCCAGGCAACAATAGTTAAGGTTGGTGTGTGAAAGGTTGCAGTGCGACATGTTCGCGTACTATTGGATGTAGTAGCGTAAGATACAAGTAGTAGAATGATGTGGCAGCTCACCTTAAAGTTAATGTTGCGAAAATCTAGCTTCCGTAAATCAGCTCCGGACAGATTAACTCCCTGAAAACGCAATTCCGTTATGACGGATGTTTGTATGATGGCCTTTATAACATCCATCCTGGTAAGTGGTCTGTCGCTTTGCGGTTCCTCCTGCTGGCCAAGACGCTCCTCCAAATGCGTTATCAGCGAGTAAATGCCAAAGAATCGTGCCTCCTCAAGAACTCCCATCACGCTAACGTTAGCGTCACAGACAAACTGGCCATGCCTCAAGTAATTAATGATGGGCTCAAAGTAGCGCGGACTTCGGTCAATCAAATAGGCCCCCTGCTCATCCTTTTCGCTGGGCTTCATGCTGCCATCCTGCAGGAACATTCGCGCCAGCATAGAGTCCGGTTCTCTGCCAACCAAAGTGTCTATAGTGGTGGTGTATATCTGACCGCCGACATTCAGTTTGACCCAGCGATTGGGGGCAAAGCTAGAACTGGCGACGGCAAGGTTTACACTGGCCGTCTCGTCTTCTCCAGTATCGCTTTCCTTCGGCTCATTGTCCATTTATTTTTGGAAATTAGACAATTGTTTTTGCTTTTTGTGTGTTGATGTCGCTGTTGCCTTGTCTTCTTCTTGTAGAGGTGGAAGAACATCGATATTACAATCGATGCATCGATGTTTTTTTTTTTAATTTTTATAAACATCGATGTTAAGGGGCGGAACATCGATGTTTAGCTTGTACGTTTTTTTTCTATATTGCAATGAAAACGTGTTTTAAGAAAATGAAAATACTAATACAATTTTTTTTTAAATACAAGTACAAATTTTCGCATGTTATTCTTGTTTTATTGATAGCTTCCAAGAAATCGATATTTGTCTCCAAAGATCTTCTTCTCTAGACTAATCTTGTCATTCACAGCGAACATGCAATTGTTGTGTCATCGGCAATTTGATTTCGATAATCTATTCATCGGGATGTATATACATATAAATATAAATTTATAAAATTAGACTTCGAAATCACCAAGAAATTGCCTAAAAGTCCAGTGCCGCATACGTGTTATACACAATGACCACCACCGAGATTGCCAGCAGCAGCTCGACTTCCAACTCCACGGGCCAGCGTGGTGTTAGTCGTGTACTTGCCAAGTTGTCTCATTCTTTGGCCGGGGGGGAGTTCTACGAAGCCCACATGATGTACAGAACGTTATATTTTCGTTATACGGCGCAGAAACGCTACCAGGACTGCCTGGACTTGCTTTTTGACGGGGCCCAGAAGCTGATTGCCAAGGAGCAGGAGGGCAGCGCGGCTGACCTGTGTTTATTATTGGTGGATACACTCGAGAAGAGGGGGCCACTGCCTGAGGACACCGACAACTTCCTCTGGGTGCCTCGCTTGGGCGCCCTAATACGAGGTCTTAGCTCAGGCACAGTGGAGCGTGAGACACTGATTGTAAGTAATGAAATGTTCCAGAGGAATGTATGCTAATTGTATTGTCGTTACAGCAACGCGCCATCAAATGGAGCATTTCTGTGCACGGACAGTACGGGCACCCGGTCTTGCACAAGCTCATTGCTCACGTTTTTTGGACGGAGGGCAACATAGAGGCGGCCCGTCACCACTATCTCCTCTGTCAGGACGGCAGCCTCTGTGGTCGAGTTCTGATTGAAATCAGCCAGAGCAGAGGCTTCCAAAGCGAGGTGGATTTGTTTCTGGTGCAAGCCGTTCTTCAGCAACTGTCGCTAAAGGATCGAAAATCCGCCGAGGAAACGTTCATTGAGTACACACGCTACCACCCTAAGCTACTTAGACACGAGTTTCCCTACCAGGAGCCCCTGGTCAACTTTTTGTACTTTCTGTTTCGTTTGATTGACACAAAGAGTGTGACGGGCTTCCGTGCCCTGCAAAAGCTCTACGATCCGTCGCTAAAGCGCGACACGTCATACTTAAAGTACGCAACGAAAATTGGAGTCGTCTACTTTGATGAGCAGCCGGAGACCCATGCCGGACCTCCCGGATTGGGTGGGATGTTCGGCGACATTTTCAGTCGCCTGATGCAAGGCTTTGACGAGGAGGAGGCGGAAGATCAGAGCACGCCCCAGAGAAGGCAGAACGTCAACAACGAGCTGGACTAACAGCAGTTAGTCCAGCGGCAGCTTCGTCACGAATGGCGGTGGAGAGCTACTTGGTTCTTTCTATTATTGTGCGCTTTTAGTCAACGAGGTTCATTGGCGCTATTGCACCGGACTATTCTTTTCCTTGTTATAATTTTAATATACTGTATGCAAAATTATTTAACATAAGCGTATAGTCGCAATAATTGCTATGTAGATTCCATAGAATTTCGAATGGAAAATATATGATATATATTTCACCAAGCATATATCGTACTTCGTAATGATATTATGGGAGTGGGTCGCATGGGAGACTAATATTAAATGAAATGAATGGTTCTGTTCTGTTTTTGACTCTGTAATGGGACATACCACATTTTCACGGAACCCCTTTATATTTACATATTTGAAATATTTCGATGTGGCGACGTCACAGTTATAAAAACAATCAATGTGACCAGTCACCGTTTAGTAAGGAGGAAAAGAAAAATAGCGGTTTTTGTATTCATACTTTTGCCCACGGCAAGGACAAGGTGTATATTATTTACACATTATTTTAAATTATCATGGATAGAGTATATTCAAAATATTTATTTTAAATAGCAATTGTAAGTTTTCTAATAACCAAACTTTCAAAATAGCCCGTCTTAGCCATAAAAAAGCTGAATTGGCAACACTGACGCTGTCGGGAATCGAATACCAAATAGTACTTGGTCTGACAGAAAATTCATCGAAAGTAGATATGTATCAACAAATTTTTTTAGTTTCGCTTTAGTTTTGTTTTACAACCAAAAGTTCAGACTTTCGTACCTTCAACACTATTCACCTGAAAGTACCCAGTGCAGGAAAAAGAGACGAAGCAACACAAGAGGCCGCGGCACGCACGCAGAGTAAGCTCAATCGAACAGGTCAAACTCTAGTGCAGACGATTAACACAAATAGTATATGGTGTGACATTTGCAGCGAAATGGCTGACAATGCGGCAGCGCCCACTGCCGATGTTGCGACTGCAACTGACGTTTATACCGATGATAGTCCGCCGCCCGTAACTTCACTCAAGTCCGCTGATGACCACACCACTCTTATATTGCCACCTGATCCAGGATCAGGGGACGCCCACGTCTCCACCCCCGCAGATAAAGCATCGACAAATGCCACCACATCCACAACCGTTTTGGTGGGCGGGGAGTCTCCTGAATCGGAACGTTGCTGTTGGATTTGCTTTGCCACCGACGAGGACAACCGTTTGGCTGCCTGGGTGAAGCCGTGCCAGTGCCGTGGGACTACCAAGTGGGTGCATCAGAGCTGCCTATATCGCTGGATCGATGAGAAGACGCAGAAGGGAAATGCGTTGCGCACCGTATCCTGCCCGCAGTGTCAAACGGAATACATAATTGTGTTCCCCCAAATGGGAAAACTTGGTGGAGCCTTGGAAGCGATGGACAATATGATCAAACGTTTGAGTCCATTCCTGGCCGCTGGTTTCTTTGTGGGTTCGCTATATTGGACAGCAGTTACCTACGGGGCGGTAACATTCCTACAGGCAAGCATTTACTTTATCAAGATGCTATCAAGATCACCTGAATAACGCATTTCCAATGACAGATTGTGGGCCATGAGCATGGCATGTCCATAATGGAGGCAGGGGATCCACTCGTTCTTCTGATCGGGTTGCCAGCTATTCCAGTTGGTCTGGTGCTTGGCCGTTTAATTCGCTGGGAGGATGCTCTGCTGCGTCTGATTCGCAACCGCGGAACAGTGGTGCGCAAATTCCCATTTGTGAACCTCATATATCCAAGCCTGTAAGAGAACACAGTCCTTTGTAACTATCTCGATGATCACAGTATTTATTTGTCCATTAACTCGACAGTACACAGGAGGAGCAGCCAATAAACAGCAATCCGGCCACACCTGCTCTGTCTGATCCAGTTTCAGCAACGCGTGTTTTCTGCGGCGCCCTTCTGTTGCCCACCATCTCGTCCATTGTGGGCCGCATTCTCTTCGACTCTGTGGACAATACGTTGCATCGCACGCTACTGGGAGGTCTTACCTTCATAACGGTCAAGGGAATCCTAAAAATTTATTTGAAACAGAAGCAATATGCGCGTCGAAAGAAGCGCCGCATCGTGGACTACACGGAAGAAAATATTCGGAATTTTATGCATCGCAACAGCAACAACCCTGCCGGCGGAGCACGTCAGCAACAGCAGCCACAGCAGCCTCCGGTGGCACAAGCATCCCGGATAGCAGCGGCAGCGGCCCGTGAAAGAGAGCGCCAGCATGGAGACATTGTGTAGATGGGCGTCACAGTGGACCCAATTGATAATGCTAACGTTTTTCTCTAGGTCTCGGCTCATAACGTTGATTGCTTAATCTCTGGCACCTGCAGGATCACGCTATACACTAGATGCGAGCCGCTATGCGGTATGCGGTTTGTAAGCAAAATTAATTGTAGAACCAGGAAATTAAGTGTATGTTGAAATATTTGGCCAACATTTTTGTTTACAATAAAAACAAAAAACCTCCCTCCCCCATGTCCCTTTGTAGATGTAATATCCAAGTAGGTTATATACATATACATACATACATATATATGCTTCCACATATTTGAATTTATTCGTTACCATTTTTGTAAATTATAAAGTTGCCTCTGTAAATAAAAGCAAACCCTCGCTAGGCTGTGGGTGAATTATAACCATAATATTAAAGGTATCTGAGGACGCCTGTGTAGCCGCCTATTCCTTTGCCCCTGCAACGTCCCGAACTTTGGAACCGCTTGGCTCTACTCTGAACTTTGGTGTAATGCCATAGTGTGAGCCGATCCCCCACCCAATATACAGTCACATCATCCATCCAATGAGCAACACAATGACAACCGCCCACGAGCCGACCATCCACTACCTGGACAGCGTTCTCAACGAGGAGGAGAAGCGGTGCAATTCGCGAACTCTTGTGCTCCCACCTGCGAGATTAGATAGGGTTTTATCTCATAGAGGTTCGGGTCCGTGTGCGAGAGAGTGCATACAGAGGGTGTGAGATGGCCTAGGCAAGCTGCAAGAAAGTGTGAATAATTTGTTTATTAAATACTGGCTTGTAAGCCGGTTGGGGCTGGGGCTGCTGAGTCATTCCGATTCAAGATAATGTACCCGAAACGCAACTGGCCGCCTGGCATACATATATGTACGTACATATGTGCATATCTGAATCTATGCAGGTGTGTGATTCATATATCCCCAGCACTCCAGTCTTGGCGTGGCTTGAACCGATCCAGCGACTCATGCATTTTATATGTATAAATGTGTAAGTACTACAAATGTATATTGAATCTAAAGTCGTCAGTAAACTTGCTACGGATGATATATGTATTGTATGTACATATATATGTACATACATATACAAAAAGATACTGTTAAAGAACCGTCCAAAGTGAATGCTCCAAAAAGCGATCTAATCATTTATAATTGTTAGCAAGTTGTGTGTTTGTTTTGTCTATTTGCGCTTATCATCGACAGCACCGGCAGAAAGATATCGGTGTGCATTTGGGAGATACTTCCACTATCATATATGTAACTATGTATATGTATGTACATATGTATGTATGATGGAAAAGCGAAAACCCTATGCGGCCTGCTCGACTTCTCGATGTGCTTCCAAAGAATAAAATCTAGGCTACCTACATATATATAATTGACCTTCCTTCTGTAAATATAAATAAATATAATTGTATAAGCAGTATGAATAGTTTGGACAGGTTCATTCGGAAGTGGAGAGAGATGGGAGATTTCTTTAACGTAGGAAGGGCACTAGGGAAGTTGCTTAAGTCGCCTCCATGCTAGCACCAAGTCGAGCACGACCAATACACAGTTAATCTTGGCACACACACACACGAGCACACTGATTGAGAGGGAGAGAGGGAGAGAGAGAGAGACGGTACGGTACCGGTGACGTATGTTTGCCTGTGCACAGCTGAATATGTGCATTTGTGTGTGTTTTTGGCTCACCTGTTTGGGCTTTCAGGAGCAATCACACGCTTTGCTTTTGCGCTCGCGGCAGTAGAAAGATTTCTTGCTGCTTTCTTTCTTCTCCTCAGGCCTGGGGTTTGCTCACTTTTGGCGACAGCAAGCAACAACAGCAAGAGCAACAACACCAACGGGTTGCGTTTGTTCTTTGTGACTGATGGTGGGGTGTGCATGAGGGAGGGAGCGGGTAGGCACATAACGTAACGAATCGCTGGAGCAGCGTCAACGTCCACAGCAACGCCAGCGTCGACGTCGGAGTCGAAGTCATTTGTGCGGCTACGGTTATAGCAGCCACATCGGAGTTCGTCCCCCAATCGCAGACCATACGCTCCACGGGCACCATTGAGCAAGGTTTCGGCACACACGACGCGTCATCTTTTTAACAAAAACAAACAAAACAAAAGTCATATGTACGTACATAATTAAATATGTATGTATGTATGTAGCACCCATAAACCTCTCGTATGTGCATTTGTGAGTGGCTCCTATCGCTCCTGCCCGAAATTATCAATATATGTATGTATTGTATCAACTAAATCAACCAAAAAAGGAGGAACATGAACTGACGTGAAGCCGTATAAGACTGTTGTCCCATCGAACATTATCATCGAACCAGCTTGTCACAAACGCCGCCGATAGGAGGAGAAGGAGAAGAATAAATCGCAGCAACGATCCCCCACCCAATATACAGTCACATCATCCATCCAATGAGCAACACAATGACAACCGCCCACGAGCCGACCATCCACTACCTGGACAGCGTTCTCAACGAGGAGGAGAAGCGGTGCGAGTATAGCCATCAGTGGCGCAACTTTACGATCTCTCGCTCCGGCCGCTTCAGGTCAAAGAACAAGAAGCGGGACGTGGTCGATGGCAAGCTGTTTGACGCAAACAGTGGCGGAGCGTCCACGAAGGAAAATGAAAAGGTGCGTCTATTTTCCAGCACCCATCTACTATCTCCCGGATCCCAGCTCCCTGCTCTCAGCTCCCTGCTCGAAGCCAGTTGCTTTATCAGCACAGGCATTCTATAAATATCAGTATATCGCGTGTCGCGACCCATATTGTGAATTGGGTACGTGATTTCTTTCACTATCTATCAACGCAACAGCTCCACCAATAGTGTTAGATTTACCTCGAGGGTCTTCTTTTTGGGTTCGTGTGTTTCCTTTGTTCTTTTCTTAGCCCCACGATTTCCTAGTGAAGTGCATAACAATTGTGATTTGTCAGATACAACTACAACACAACATAAGTCAGCCCGGGAAAACGGAAATGCTCGTTAATGAAACGGAAGTCGGCTTTGTTGTGATAAGACCTCAAGGCAGTAGTCATGTGGATATTGTAGGCATTGTGGGGTCTTATTCATTCAAGTGCATTGGATTGGACCTTTTGTAAGATCCATGCCCGGATATATTTGTTTACCATTCAATGTCACTTGAGGCGGCGTCGAGTGAAATCGAAAACACCAGGCGCAAGCAAGAGTCTGAGCATAGTCCCAGTCTGTACTGGGATACGGATACTGATGTGTGGGGGTGAATACTGTATTTGGATACATAAAATCCTAATTAGTTTTTCTTATTTAGTGATGCAACAATGAGACAATCTATAATTCCATAAAAACCAGCTTATCAGTTCAAAATCTCAACAAAGATTGTGTATAGACGTGGTCCTTCCTATGGTAGAAGGGCTACAAAGAAAGTTAACAAAATTACACTATATTCTTATTGTACTTTGGTCTTGACTAGATTTATATGTAAAGAACTAAGCCATGATAAGATTAGATTGTAAAGGGAACTTTTTGCCTCATTTTACCTGCAATGTTGTACTATGTGTACATATGTGAAATGAATGAGTGATTTTATTCACCTGCTAAGTATACCATGTACTATAGAAAGTCCTTTATTAGGGTTTAATCCCACCCTCATTCAAGGGCTACTCTCACACATGTGTACGTATATAAAATATACACCTTGGAGCAATTACAGACAAAAGGTGCCATAAACGAGGTTTATAAAGTGCAATCGAAATATACAAAGTGCGCACTCTCTTTTTATAATCGTTTGTTTGTTTCGCAAAAATGCTTTTAATCAACAAAATAATGAAAGGAAATTACAAAACAGAAATAGAAAGACAAAAGTCATGTCCAAGCAAGACTAAAAGTAATTAGTCGTATGTCATCTTTCGGATTTCTGATTTTGTTTCTGTTACTGTCCTGTTCTATACTGCCACGCATATTCACGTGAGACCGAACCTTAACACACCTTTCTGGAAACTTTATACCAGCCAGCAGTACATTTTTTGGCGACACGACGACGACCCGACTCCTCCGAATGTCATTTAATACGAATTTTTGTACACAAGTTGTATGTATTCTACTCTACTCTATATTACGAGGAAAAGAAATGCTCGACGGGGTAGTGCCAAAATCAAGGTCTCGTATTTGGTGTCACTCGAATGCTGTATTAATTTTCCCCAGCTCCACACCAGTTCAGTTCCGTCGTGCAGTGGTGACGGGGGCGTGAGCCGCGTAGCGTGTGAGGGATGTCCAAAGAGGGCGGGCGCGTGGAGCTGATTGCGCAATGCAAATGCATTGACCGATCGATCGATTGCCGGCCGACTTTGTTGTCGCGTCATTGTCGTCTGTGCATTGAACTTCGGAGAAGCGCTTTATGATGCCGACTTGATATTTATATCGGCGACGACTGATGAGGACTCTCCGCTGATGTATACATTTAAAGACATTTTAAGACCGAGTGTCGAGAGTTGTTCCTGCACCAGAAAAAACATAGGATTCCAAACTCCGACTCATTTATGAAAAGGGATCTAAAGATACAATTAATTTCACAATGCCAATACTGCAAATGGCATAGAAATTTCTTGATAGATCTAGATATAGTTGTCTAGATGGCACGCTTATTCGTTAGACCCGAAGAGGAATCCTTGAAAGTTGTTGGTGTTTTTTTTCCGGTTCTTCAACTACTTATCAGCTACCAAAATCAAGGCATAGACATGTCTGTATGTATTTATTTATGAGTATATGGTAACACTATAACACTAGAGTCTAGTGACTAGACGGTTGTGTGCTGATAATAATGAAGCGCAAAAATTATGACGCTCGCTTTTCCAGTTAAAGAATAGAAAACCAGGCACCGATATGCCCAATATGTGCACGTATTTTGCAAGTTTTCCTCTTTACCACAACAGCCAACAGCACAAAATATCGTCTTATCAAGAAAAAAAACCTGAGGAATAACAATAATAATAAATTTCTGCACATATGTATGTACTTATACTTAGAATGACTTACCTATGTATATACATATAGATACAAGCAGTGCTTCGCATCGAATTTGATTTTACCTCTTTGTACGGGGTAACCTGTCAAAAAGGCTTTCTTTATAAATGTCCCCAAGTTTGATTAAAATCAGGTGCTAAGTCATAAAAATAAATCATATTCGGTCTGCTCGGTCATGTCTTCTGATTAGCTTAGAGTCGGTCAAGTCAGTGACTGATGACCCAAAACGATAGGTGAGATCTGAGGAGATTTAGTTTTCGCAGCTCCTACTCACTGTTCGAACATTAATAAATAAAGATTTCATATAATTTATTTTCAGATCTCATCGCGCACTTCATCCAGCGCATTACCCAAGTCTTCAGCCACACCCACAACAGGATCCTTCGGCACCCCTACGGTCGCAGTCAGCTCTGCTCGAAGTCAACGCGACAAAGTTGAGAGTTATAAAAGTTTCTACGAGACGAATTTATAGATAGTGGAAACATGTTTTTCAGTTTAATTTCTATATTCCCCACGCACTTATATACATATAACAGTGCATAACGCTTTATTATATAAAATTGAGATGGTGAGAGAGAGAGCGAATGAGGGTTTATAGCAGGATTTGGGGATGGGGACTACAACGCAATGCACATTGCGCCAGTGATGACAGCGGTATAATTTCTGCGCGGGCTGCTTGATTAGGTTTGTTTTAGTATTTAATAAAGCATGCTGAGAGGTTTACATATATTCATATATTCAACATAATACATACATATATACAATATGTATAATATACACGCTTTCTCTCTCTGCACTTGGATCGATTGTACGTACTTATGTAAAATTATTATCTGCTGCTTGCTTAGATTGTAAAAGTATTAAAACGTGATAATTGCACTAAATTATAGACTATCTTTAAGTTTATAGCTATATAATTGTATTGTATTGTACGTCTTACAGTTAGTCAGAAGCAGTACATTTGAGTCTAGCCAATAAAGCACAAGGTTGGGTCTAATGAGTCGTTTAATCGTTGCTTTAACACAGTCGCCAAGTTGAAAAATCATGAGCTAGGGACACCATCATTATCGACATCGCCCCGCTCTTCGGGCGCTCTGATGTAGCTCACATCGAGCACGCAGAACTTCGCTCGGCACATCGGACACGTGCACTTCTGTTCCAGCCAAATGGCACGATCGACGTCCGTTTGGCGGGCGGCAAACCACCGGGCTAGGCACTCCACACACCACATTGGGCGACAGTAGCAGTTGGAGCAGGAGGCCTCGTTCGTCAGGGGAGCGCCATTGCGGTCCACATCGGCGCATTGCTTGTTGATTTTAATGTTTGGATCGATCAGCATGCATGCGAAGCATTTTTCCGTTGAGGGCTCCGCTGGGAAGACGGGATTGAGGGCGACTTGGGCCTTAAACACATCTACAAAGCGGTCGATCACGTTGCGATGGAACTGTATGTTGGAAGGTATGGCAATGGGTCGCCTCAGTCGATCCTCCAAATTTCTGAATTCCAATGCATTGATTCGGATGTGAAAATCGGCCACGCCTTGCCGCATGGGCCGCACTATGATGCTGATCATCTGCAGAGTGTCATTCTGATCCTGATGTGTTATATTGTAGGTCTCCGCCTGTATGGAGAGAAGATTAATAAGCGATCGAGGGAAAAATCATCTATAGCTGGAGCTATAGCTATAGACCTATAGCTGGCAATACCTTTGCCACACTGAGAGCCGTATTGGTTTGGTGCGCAAAGTGAACATTGTACATGGTTGTCTTGATTATCCAGTTCTCCGTTGCTATCACAGTGCTGATGGAGTTAAGTTTCTTTTTATAAATTTCCGGACGACGGAACTCGGTGCTAATGTCGCTGGCGACGGCACTATAGGTACTCGGCGTGTTTGAGTATTTGGAGAGGGCTTTGTTTATTGGATGCCGCCGCCAATTCTGCTGGTGCCAGTTAAATATCAGGGAGGGAACTGCTAGCACGGCAAGAACGCTAAAACGCTGTGCCGTCTTCCACGTGAGCGTCTTGAACGCCACTGCTTCCTGGGGCATTGGAAAATCTGGGTCAAGCTCAGAGTGTTCGAGCGGCTCTTGCGTGGCAAAAACGGAGAACTTCAGCCTATGGATTAGAAAGTATGCAAACGGCAGGCACGAGTGCACAAAGAGATTGAGCGAAGTGCGTCGCAGATGATATCCTACGAAGTCCATCGATTCTTGCCCAAGAAACCGCGAGAACAACTGCTCGATGGTGAAGCCAAGCCGCTGAAATTCCTCCGGTGGATAAATTATGACCATGCATAGCAAAAAGTAGAACAGATTAAAGAGCAGTTCCGATTCGTCCATGTTTCGAATAATATTGCTGGATTCAACACAACCAGACTCGCCCGGACTAACTCAAAATATTAAATTTTAAAACTTGATTGGAAAGACAATAATAGATTTATTGTAAATTTGCTGAAAATTTGTAAATAAATAAAAAAATACCGTCTGACACTCAGAAATATACCGCAACATACCAAATTGATGAATATACTATATAATATACCGATATATATACCGTCAATCATGAGTGAGTGAACGAACTTAGCCCACCTAAACCCCCTTTATTTAAAAATGTGAGCTCGAGTTACACCGCGGCACTAACCAAAAATGTACAAGTGATTTTAAATTGGGTGCTGCGCAAGTATGACAATAAAATTCAGCTACGACATATTCGTTGTATGAACTGGCCCATCTATCCACGATATATTTAACCTCAGGTACGCCAAAATGTTTCAAGTGTCCTAATATTCGTTGATACCTCTATTGACGATACCCACTGATCGTCAATGGACTCGTTCTCTGTCATTGATCGTAAATTATGTTCCTCAATTTTGATATTCGATATAATATTTCTAGCCAGCTAGAATAATAATATTAATATATAAATTTTCTGCACGGTTGGCTAATTTTAAGGACTCCCTTTTATTGGATTGCTTGTAAAATGGGGTATCAAACGTAAGAGTCTACGGAATGTTTCAAGGGTATGCGAAAGTAAGCGAAATAATCACATTGCTTCGCTAGGCTATGGGATCTTTTAACAGTATACCGCATAAAAAATTGCACAACGTGGAAAGATTATACAGGTACATATATCTCACAAGTCAAGCATCCAAAATTTCCATTACAGGGTCGACAGATACTGTATCTTCCAAGATTCAGGGGAACTTCTATAAGAATACACAATTTGATACAAAGGTTACACTACTCGACAAAATCGAACTTTTTTTTTCCTAAAGTATCCAAACCGACTTTTTCTGATAGATATGGGGCTTTAAAATTTTTTAAACAGTATGGTTTTTTTTCTATGGCAGAAATTATTTTAAAGAATTTTTGAAAACAGGTATTTTTTTTTAACCTTTTTTCAGAGGTAGCGCTTTTTTTTTTTTACATAACTCTAGTATCTTAAGTCTGGTTGTAAAGAACTTTGCTATTTTGAAAAGATAATTGAAACAGCTAGAAGTTAAACCCAAACACTTTGTGATTTCAGCTTACCGTCTGGGAAATATAAAGCATTGAAATGCAAAAATGATGATTTTTGTGCGGTATTTTTTACGAAATTTTGACTTTAAAAACTCAACAACTCAAATATCATGAAACCATTTCTAAGCCCCAAATCTTTAAGAAAAAGTTCGTTTTGTTCCTTGAGGAAAAATCGTGTTGACTAGTGTTATTTTTACATTCGTAGATGATTTACTGAAGAGAAATTAAACCAAAAATGGATCCTGCAGAAGATTGGAAATCTCTATAATTCGTGTTTATCAGTGTTCAATCAGTGGTCAAAGTAATTAAAGCACTTAAACTCTATCATGCGTAAATGGATATAGCATAAAATAACACGTTGGTGTCATTCAAATGGTATTTTTCCATCAAGACCAGGAACGATGCGGTGCCAGCTGATGATCTGTGCGGCCATCGGATTATTCCTAGCATTCAACATCAATGTTAACGTAAATATATGTGAAATACTAATCAAGTGGACAATTGTGAACAAAGTTTTCAGGATGCCGTCATCTTCAAGTTTACGAACGCCGTGTGTGAAAGTTACAATCAGTCCTGGTTCGTGTTCCACTACTGTCGTCTGAAGGCCGTCAGTCGAAGCAAAGTGCTCTTCAATATGAATGGGACGATTTTACATCCGGCCAATAATATAAAAATTCATATGCGGGTTTTTAAAAAGGCTAATGGCTATAAGCCTTGGCTTTTCGATGTTACATGCGATGCCTGTATGCATTTGCGAAGGCGAAATACCCCCCTCCTGTCGATAGTCTACGGGCTCTTCAAACAGTATACCAACATCAATCACACATGCCCCTATGTGGTAAGATTACACTGGTATTTCTCACGAGTAAAACATCTAAAATTCCAACATAGGGTCCACAGATTATTTCAGATTTTTATCTAAAACCCGAGCTACTGCGTCTTCCCATGCCAACGGGAGATTATATGTTGTCGATGCAGTGGATCTTCGATAATAAGCTACAGTTTGATACGAACATCAGTTTTACGTTCATAGAGGACCTCCTGAAGAGCAAATAGTGGAGGCCTGCAGCCTGCAGACCCCTGAGAATCTACAGAAAATTGACATAGAACAGTAGAAAATTTTAAATGAAAGCAATTATTGTACAGATTTATCAAATACATACACATATGGTAATCCGTGTTTTTCGACTGATTGATCAATGAAACGTAATGTTAATAGCTATGGTACTCGATGTTCTCCGGAAGTAATTTAAGCAAAGTGGAATGGCATTATCTACATTTTATTGACTCTTTCATGCGGAAAAAGATATATTTGTATGCATGGTACTCACAGTGTATATAGGGTATATATTATTAGATTCGTATCACATTTGTAAGTGACTGCCAGACGTAGTTTCCGATAACTTTGAATCGCTCGCCCATAACGGACTTGCTCTTGCCATTTTTACTCTGTCAGATCCGAACAATTCCATTCTTTTTTCTCTCTGATTCCCCACTTGATCATTAGGCGCTTACCGGGACGGACGGTCGGAAGGACGAACAGACAGACATGGCTATACATACATATGTATGTATGTACATACATATGTATGTTGGCGGGTTGCAGGCCTTTTACCATAGTACCGTTCTCTAAGAGTTTAGGGATATACTAGTTTTGTGGTCGAAGTGGATGTGTGCAACGCAGAGAAGGCAACTTTTTCAACCCCATAAAGTATATATATTCTTGATCAGCATCAATAACCGAGTCGATATAGCTTTGTCTGTCTCTTCGTCCTTCCGACCGTCAGTCCCGGACGTATCAGTTTAGTGCTCGTGCCTACCAACTGATTACGGGCATTAAAGTAGAGTAGAGTCAATCAATCACACTACACACTATAGCAATTTCCAGTCACCAGCCTCACTTGGGATCCGTGGGCAACTTGAAGCCCACCAGATCGGCTGTATCACTCACAGACCGCTCTCCACGTCCATGGTATTCGTGGTACAGCTCGGTATAGGTGCGCAGGCTGCTCAAGTAAGAAAGAAAACTGCCTCGTTGCGAGCCTTGTCGGTCGTCTCGTACCTGATCCTTTTATCGTATGTATAGGAACGCCGCAATATAGTCAACAGACGATCCTCTGGCAAATAGTATCGACGGTACTTGTTGTCCTTTGTCTCCCCCGAACAAAATGAGCCGCCGCGAAGTTCAATTTAATGCCGAATGCCGCGAATGTCGTTAGCAACCGCCGCCATTCTCCACAGAAGTCAGATCGGATATGACCGTTACATTTTTTCAATGCTGACCGGCATTCAATTTAACCTCACATTCTTCCTCAGGACTGAGCACTTGTTTTCATATATTGTTGTTGTTGATGTGTCGTTTAGGGTTGCCAGTCTACCTTGCCATGAGTAATCGATTAGTCGTTAAGAGGTTCCGTTCCGGTTCCACGAGCGATTCTTGTCATAAGTTCCTGAGCGCATAAGCGCGCTTTTAAGAATAAATAACCCATGACAGAATGACTTTTTAGTTGTTGTATGTCAAAAAGTATGTTCCGATTGAATCCAACTTTACATGAATTATCTTGAAGACACTCTTTGGGTGCGGTCTTAACCGTTTCGACAATGTACCTTATACGAGGAGCAATGATGAGCCTTATAGCTTCTTAACTAATATAGGCGGAATAATATAAGGTATATACCATCTTAAAGGGTATAAAAAATCTGTAGCTAAACCCATTGTTTCTTTTTTTTTTTTGTATATTTGTTTTTTTTTTTAATATGTAATATATAATGTGTAATTTCGTAAAACATAAAAATTTGTGTTGAATTTGTTGTTAGGTTACATACACATATGGTTGATGAAATGGAAATGCTTGATATTACCACACCGCACCCATCGTGGAACTGTTTCAGATTCCGCGATATGGACAACAAACCTACACACATACATACATATAAGCTAAACGTTTGCCTTGAATCTTAGACTCTACTTGGACCTTATAGGTGTAAGCATCATAAAACTAGCCCCACATTTGCAAGCCGACATTGGCTAACATAACATATAATGTATAAATACTCGTACATGCACATTGTATAGACTTAGGCTAATATGGTTAACGGAATGGAATGTCTGGCTTGTTGTCCGTAAACTAAGTATTCGGATAGTGAAGTCGTCTCATTTACATACGTATGCATCTACTGCTGCAATTCACTCAAGTTTGGAATGTTGCTGGCGTAGTCATCGTTCGATGCTGAGCTGGAGTCGTTGGTTAGTTCAAAGCTATTATCACCGCTTGTTCCAGTGACCGTCGTCAGACTGGAGTCGTTGTTCGAGTTTTGCTGCTCGGAATTGCTAAGGTTTGGCAGGGATGCATCTGCGTAGTCCCCCTCTTCGTCTTCCTCGTCATCATCTTCGTCGTTGCTCAAACTGCTTGAGCTACTGCTGTCAGGATGGGAGGCTTCGCCATTCTCAGCGTTCAAATTTAAAGCACTTATCATTGGCAAATTATTGAGGCTTGCCGTTGTCGGGGCAGTGGTCGAATTGGCTGATGCAGCATCTGCAGCGACAGGTCCGCTTATCTCGGCGGGGTTATCGATTAAAAGCGTGATTATTGGGATATTGGGTGGATCTGTAGCGCTGCTTCCATTACTGGTCTTCTCTAGCGCAGTGGAAGCCGTTGCCATTGATGCTGCTGAGCTGTTATTGAGTATAGACAGATTGGGGATATTTTGTGGAGGAGGCTGCTCTGGCTGCGCCGGATCCTGTATTTGTTCGCTGGGATTGAGGATTGTTAGATTGGGTATATTGGGTGTGGTTGCAGTCGCAGATGTGGCGCTTGCTGAGGCGTTAGGGCTGGCAGTGGTCTTCTGATGTCGTGAGGAGCGGGGCGGCGCTGTGGGAGGAACACTCGCAGATGGTTGCGGCAGACTCTTGTCGCGCCGCACCATGTGCTTGTCAAAGTAATCCAAGTTGAATCCCAGACTACCTTCGCCAGCCGCATTCAATGCCGCTGTGTTCGGCAGATAGCTGGGATCTGGTACCTCGGTGTCCACGTCCATATCGTCGCCCAGCTCTAGGCTAAAATGCGCTGCAGGGCCGTCAGCAGGACGCTCAGGTTTGGGTTCTTAAGTAAAGCAGGGATACGTGAATCTTTAATCGAATGGAAGTAGATAGTTCCAATCTTACCATTCAGGAAATTTAACGCCACGAAATCAGCGGCACTGAAAAGTTCTGCTTCTACCAGAAGCTGCAGTAGCACTCCGACAGTGGGGCGCTCGTTTAGCTTCCCCGACGTTTTCCACTCATCAATCATCACCTGCGATATGCTTTGATCGGGGGGCAACCTCTCCGCCACACCGTCAATCAGGCTTATGTCTTGAGCTGTATACTTGCGCCCACCGTTGGCAGTAATCTTCACCGCACCAGCTGCGCTGCAGGCCTGCACGTCCACCTTGGGTATGATGGACATAAGCTTTCGCCAGCAAGCATTCACATCCAAAATCGTGGCCAGCTTGTAGATGTCGTTGTCCTCGACACGCCGCAATTCTGTGGTGCGCGTATATTTTGAGGAACCATTTCCCTGGACTTCTGTTCCGCACCAACCGTTCGCATTTGCCATGATGAGAGCACACTCTTCTTGAGGTTTCGTTTCCAGTGTGTGTGCGCCTTCTTCGGGTTGATTGTTTGTGTTTCCAACTGTCCAGCCTTTGCATGTGCGTTATAAAAACATTTTCGCATTTCTTCAACGCCGCCAACACAAAGCGTTGGTACGATACTTTTATCTCTAATTATAGGAAGAATCGATAGTTTTAGAAAATCCGGCGATCAAACGAACTTAACCCATTTAACACCCCTCTATTTAAAAAGTTGAGCACCTTTGTTAAACCGCGGAAAATAATACTGTTTGTAAAGGCTCCTTGTAGCTCCATCCTTCTCTTTACTTACAAAACAAAAATGGCCAATGATATCTTTCACCTGTAATGCGTAAAATATGTTAAAGTGAAACACATTTCGTGGAAATATTAAATACCCCCCCTGGTCGACAATGGGATAACGTTCTATTTTATTGATTGATATCGTATTCGATGATTTTCATATTCAGATATTAATATTATTAGCTAGTTAGCCCTCTCAGCCCTAAACAAATAATTTTATCCGATAGATACATAAATTTTCTACAAGATTGGCTAGTGTTGAGAAGTCCTTTTTATTGCATTGTTTAAACAAAAACGGTCAAAGCTTAAAACGTAAATGTTGACTTAATTTGTCGTCATTGTTGCTGATCAACCAAGTTTCTTCTATGCGTATGGCTTGTGTATACCGTATTTCCATTAATTGATGTTAAATTTGATGTTTCAAGCTCCATTGAAACATTAATAATGATTTTATTCTAGATTGACATGTTTTTTACCTATTAATGCATATGTTTTGTGTTTAATAAATACATTTATCCCGGTTCTGATTCCTATTATTGGTATCCGTGAGCTGCAAAATTTCGTTAATATTTTCAAAACAGAGACTGAGTAGTTTCTGCATTAATTAGAGCCTGAAATTACAAACAATATCTCAAGTCCATAATATTCATTTTCCCAAGGTATTCAAATTTTTTTCTCATTTCGTGCCAAAGTTGCACCACTAACCATACAGTATATAGATGTGCCAGTTCATACAACGAAAGGGGCGCAGCTGAGCTTGCAGCGAACGTTCCCAGATCTTCGGCTTTGGGAATGGCCGCGTTCGGCTCTGGGAATGGCCGCGTTCGGCTCATGACGTCACACGAGCCGACTGGCAGCAAGCATGCATGTGTTGTGTAAATATATATTTTGGAGTGTACACGTACACACGAGGTCTCCACTTAGCCGACGGCCCAGCATCAATAATAAATGTTTTTGCTTTTTGTACCCAAAAAATACTTTTTGATATAAAATCCGTTACAAACTTAACGGTTTACCTTACGCGTTTTCCACTTTCAACCAATCAAATCGTTCGAAATTTTCTGTAAACATTTGAGGTGGTTTTCTGGGCAAAGTCCAAAAAAATATTCGCGCGACCATGAAACAAGAAAATAGTGCCGAATATTTTTCTTTACAAGTCCATGGATACCAAAAAAATATCCATTGATAATTTTTTAAATCATATCATTAATAATAACGATGAAGAAGATTCATTGCGTTCCCGTAATAAACATGTGGCTCACACCACGAAAAGGAGGGGAAAGTCACCACGAAAACGCTCTCTTCACCTCGAAGAAGAGAGTAAATTTTGTTAAAAACCACCACGATTCGCTCACGAACGAAGGCTGCAGAACCGTCGAATCGATAGTATGGATGGTTTTGGAATGCGATATGTCGTTGGAGTGAAAGAAGGCTTTATAATTCTAGAAAACGTAGTTAAAGTTATATGGAGAATTTCGTAACGAGGATCTGTCAAACCGGGTACTGTGCTTTAGTGCGGTGAGCTAGGACATTTGTTTGCATCACATCACAGCAATTTGGTGCCCGGCTACTAATGAAATGAATAAATGTCAATGTAACAATGTAACATTAGGATATATAAATAACTGAATTATTTGCTTGGAGATTAGTCTGCAGAAACGACTAATATATTTTTTTAAATTTTGATATAGAACAAAATATTATATTATTTCATAATAATATAATATAATATTTATTATATTAATCTTATTTAATGAAAATAAAAAAATATCGTCTGGCATCATCAAAAACACCGATAAATAAAACCAAATCATTAAATAAATGAAAACATTTTTATTTTTATTCTTTTTTAAATTGGACGGTTTTGCATTTACATGAAGTTTGTTGGTATAAAAACAGCACAAAATAATGGACACAAAAAATAATGATAAAGAAAATCAGAAACCTGATTTCTGCTTACACTAATACAATTGTTTCGTTGCTAGATCAAAAAATATGTTCAAAAATGATTTGTAAAAGGTTTATGTTTTCCCCCATTTTGGGCTACTTATTCTTATATAAGGTCACTTTCTTAACTTGCTACCATATGTATATATATGTTTTTTGATGTTTGTGCATATGCATATGTACGTATACGACACGTCAATTGTATTCAATTCGAAATCGTTACGTTTGGGTATTCAAGAAAATGCGGAATGCTATCTTCTAAACGAGACTCTTGGGTTTGTTTGTGTGTGTGTAGTCGATAAAGCTCTGCGCTTTGTCTAGTCCTGGACGGCTCTTCGTTTCTTACTGCCTAATAAGCTGATAAGCTTCCTGATTTGTCCTAAACTTAGTGATTTGTGTAAAAGAAGGTAGTGATAAAGAGCAATACGCTCATGATCAGCGCCGTATTAATGTTATGGCCATGGCGCGTGTTTGCGGCATTGCGCGTGGTCTTGCCCATTTGGAAGCGCAGCGTGGGACTGGACATGCGACCGTCGCCTCCGTTGCTGAAGGCCAGCACACGCATGTTGTAACTCTTGCCAGGCGTGAGGGTTTTGATGTACGACTCCAGCTTTTGCCCTACTTGCACGATAGTGTTGTTGGCAGTGATCATGTTCTGGTCCGTTTCCCAAATGCGAACCTAGGAAGAGCCACAAGTTAATTCAATTAGTCCATTGGCATGGACCAGCTTGCTCGCTTTCAAACCTTGTAGCCTTCAATCGGCTCCTCGTCCTGCGAGGGTGATACATATCGCCATACAACTCGCACGGTGGACGGATTTATTCCATAAACATGCACCGAAGATGGCGGCTTCTGTGGGGCCTTGCGATAGGTGCGTTCTGGAATGCATTCAAGCGAAATCGACAATTAAATAATCAAATCACTCGCTTGTTCTCGCTTGAGACAACCTTCGAATCGTTCGCTCTCGGGTCCCTCGCCTGCAGCATTGTAGGCCATCACTTTGACAAAGTAATAGGTGTCGGGTTGCAGACCGACAATCAGCGCCCAATTTCTTGTTGTCCGTGACAGGTAGTACACGGAATCTTCCTCCTGGTGCGTCGTCTTCCAGTACTTCAACTAAAATCTCATAAAGCTAGAATAAAAAGTTCAGCTCAAGTCCGAACCCGTTCCGAAACTTACCCGATGACCAATCAGCTTGCCGCGGATATTCTCACGGGACATGTCAATGGGTTGCCAAGTGACGTTGAAGCAGGTCGAATTGAAGGCCAGAGCAAACGGCTTTTGCGGCGCCACTTGGGGCATGTCCTCTGCAGAATGAATAATAGCGACCTCACTCTCTGGCCCCTTGCCAATGCTGTTGATGGCCTGCACCTTGACTTCGTATTCGGTGTAGTAGTTGTTGAGTGGAATATTCACCACGGCTATGCCCATGTTCTGTTTCTTTATCTCGTCCGATGCCCACTCCAGGGCGCCCTTCAATTTCCAAAATACCTTGTAGCGTATGCCGTGGCTGTGCTGCTCCTCGGGCAGAAGGGGATCCCAGGTGATGGTCAAGTCCCCGATCTTGCCACCGCCGCCTCCCACTCTTCTTGGTGCTATGTAAGGCTTATCTTCGTACGTGCTGTATATTGGCGAGGGAGCCGAGGGCGTACCGATGCCCAGGTCGTTCACAGCCGTAACACTGAACTCGTAGGCCGACCATGGAGTCAGGTTGGTCACCTCGGCCTGCTGCCGCGATGTGTAGCGATCGACTTCACGGGCCTGCACATGTGTCGACACATTCACCCAGGTGCGGTTCCAGTTGGTCCGACCCAGGATGTTGTAGTAGCGGATAGCCCGGCCATTATTCGCTCCGTCCACCCACTCGATGATCGCTTTCGTCTTGCTAATCTGAATCACTTGGACGCCGCCTGGGGCGCCAGGTGCTCCCTCGATGACCACGCTGGTTTTGCTGCTGATCTCATTGACGGCCGACTTGACGACGCACTCATAGTCGCCGGCATCCCGCATGGTGGTGTTGTGCACCGTCAACCTGTTCCAGTCGACAATCTGCGGAAAATGCGGATAATATTAGATCGATATTAGATCATAAATTAATTAGTCTTACAATGCGCAAAGTGCCGTCATGGTTGTTCTTTAGAAGCTCCCCATTGTGCTTCCAGACATAGGCAATGTCCAACAGCTCATCATAGGCGGCCTCGCAGTGAAGGTAGATCAGATCATGCTCCTTAGTGACGATGCGCTGGGGCGGTGTTTGGATGAAGCGTATTTCCTCTGTAAAAAGAAAATAAATTAGTTCGCAACAGTTACGGACGTTTGGGGCTTTGAGCTTACGTAGAACAATGACGCGAGCATGGGACTCGTCTGTGCCGGCCTGGTTTGAGGCACTGCACGTGTACATGCCCTCATCGTCGCGAGAGGTGGGTGATATGATCAATGTGCCGCTGGGCAAGATGCGGCGATGTCCGCCAGAGCCCAAGAGCTGTCCGTCTTTTTTCCACTGGAACTTTGGCCGCGGAGCTGCCTCGGGGTCACAGACGATCGTTGTGTTGCCGTTGTAAACGGCATAGATCTCGGACTCGAGTGGATGCTTTTTGAAGGATGGCTTCATGGAGAGTACTCGCAGCTGGGCCGAGGAGAAGGAGGTCTTCAGCTGGTTCTGGGCTCCACACTGATACATGCCTTCGTCCTTCTCCCTCTCCAGAAACTTGATAGTCAACACGTTATCCTGAATCACATAGCGATCCCGATTGATGGTCAACGGGTCGAGTCGCTCGGCGTTTTTGTACCACGTGTAGTTGGCGTCGGGAATGGCAAACGCCTCGCAGATAAAGGTCACATCGCTGTTGTAGTCCTTGATCATGTCCTTCAGGGGGATGGTGAATTCGGGTCGCATCTGGATGTTTATGTAGATGCTCTTCTCCAGCGTCTTGCGCGGGTTGCTAATGGTGCAGCTGTACTCGCCATTGTCGTTGGTGGTTGCATTCTGAATGATCAGAACGCGCCCGTAGTTGGCCGTGTAGGCGTTGCGCTGCAATGGCAGGCCCTTGCGCGTCCAATTGTACGATGGTATGGGATAGCCGAAGGCCACGCACTCGAGGCGGATCTCATTGCCGGCCACTGGTGCCTCCGGGAAGACCTTTGGGAAGGTGTTGGCAAATATCAGAGCCTGGTAGTTGCTGTTGGGCGTCACGCGCAGGGGGAAGAATGGCCCATTGCGACCCGTGTCCGACACCAGAGTCTGCACAGTGCACGAATAGTTGGCCCTGTCCACCGTCTCGATGAACGAGAAGTAGAGGGCTCCGTCGCGGGAGACAAACACCCGTTGGTCCTCCTCCACAAAGTTCGGGAAATAGTCGCGGGCCCAGTAGTAGCGAACGTCTGGGTAATGTTGCGGTGGATCGCAGAATATCGACTTCCCCCAGTTCATCTCGCTGGTCTCTGCCGAACGCTTAAGATTAAACTCCATGATGAAACCAAAGTTTAAGTGCGCACTCTCCGACCGGATGCGGCCGAACTTATTCTCCGCCACGCAGTGGTAGGCTCCTTGGTCGAGGGCCTGCTTGGGCTCGTATATGATTAGATTGCCCCCCGATATCGTGTAGCGATCCTGCGCCATAGGGTCAATCTTCTGGTATTCCAGCGTATCATTCACATACACCTCGCGGTACCAGTAATAGGACGGTGTGGGGAAGCCGCCGGCCAGGCAGCTCAGTGTCACATCGTTGATCAGACGATTCTTGTTTACGTCGAAGGTGGTGTCATTCGGCTGCTTGACAAAGTACGGTCCGCGGGGTATGCGCTCAATGTCCCTTATGTCCAGGCCATAGTGATATGGCCGCTTGTCGTCCAGCTTAATATTGACATTGTCCGGACTGTACAGCACTCGGGACTCGCAGATGAAAAGATTCATTTCGATTTCGTAGGCCGGCATAAACATCCACCGATCCCGCTTCTTTGAGTAGGCATAGACAACGCGGTCACGCGCATAGCCAAAGTCTCCATAGGGCTGGTTGGGACCTGCGAATAATTCGTAGTTGCATTCGTAAGTCTGAGGGAACAAACAGACAATCGGGAGGGGGTTTGTTTACTCACCGATGAAGCCACGCAGATTATTTTGGTTTCGTTGGTTAACATTGCCAGGAACTGCATTGTAGAACTGATTGGGATTGTTCTGATTCAGTTGCCGATTCCGGTTGTTTATGTCGTTCTGCACCAGAAATCTGTTGTCGTGCAGATCCTCGTTTTCCCAGGGCTGCTCTTCGTCAAAGGAAAACGAGTCGTCGATCTGCACCAGCTGAGTGTTGTCATCGTTGACCCAATTCTGGGGGCCCGTCTGGCGAGCGGAGATGAAGAAGCGATTCTGCCGATGGTTCTGCAATATCAGATTCTTGAGTATGAACGCATGCTTCTCCAGATTGTCCACGTTCAGCAGATCCGCATTGTAGGCCTTGCAAATCTTCTTCGCCTCCGCCCAGTTGCGCTTTGGCGAGCGTATGAAGCGGTAACAAGTTTGCCTGAACGAAACCCAATACTCTGGACAAAAGTTATCTTCGTCGCTGTACATGTCCCTATAGCTGACTCCTCCTGCGCCAACATTGTTTCGATTGAAGGGATCGTATTGAGGACCCAGTCCTCCCAAGCCGCCACCCAGACTGTTCCCAGGTCCGCCTATGTTGTTGCCTCCGAGACCTCCGATGCCTCCGCCACCGACACCGACGCCGGCGCCCATCTGCCGATTGCCATCGTAGTACGTGTTGTAGCTGTTTGGGTTCTGCTTGTCCAACAGGGGATTGTCGTACTGCGTGGTGTCCGGATTCGGTTGCTGCCCCGTGTATAGCGGATTGTAGCGCGGCGAGTAGTCCTTGTTGTAGCTGGGCTGATATGACTGGGGCTGCATGGGCTGTCCTTGCTCCAGTTGGCCTTTCGGGAGGTCCCCAGGCAACTGTGCCGTTGCCAGGACTAGTAATCGCAGAAACAAGCCGGCCACAAGGCCGCCTTTCAGTGACATACTGACTCGGTTTTGATCAAGTCGAATGCGGGAACTACTTCAGGTGTCGTTTCGCTCCAGACTAGTGGCACATTTTCGTTCGAGATTCGTCTGAGGTTATAAGCAGAAGAATGCAAAATTATAATATTGTTTATTTTCCCAGCTAGTGGCGTAAACAAACAGCGATTTGTATAAACAAATCCCCCGATCATCGGTCTGGTCCGTCAATCGTTATTTGGAATTCACGTGCCTCTGTGTGTGTGCGTGTGATAGGTGTGGTCGTAAGCTTTCGTTGTATCAACTTATATGTACATTTGTGGCACGAGCAATAATTAATTAAACTAGTTAAAATGTAAGCCTGCAAGTGCAAAAAAATTAAGTCCCCAGCTTGGCTTCGGTGGAATGCCTTTGAAGGAGTGGCTCAGAAGAGCTCCGCCCGCCCATGATGAGTAAAGCTGCGCTTAGTCAAACATCCAAACCACACCTTAATTAAGATTATTTTCAACATTAATTAACAGCCCCTTCAAAGTGTTCAAGCGGTATGAATTGGTTTGAACACTGACACCTTAACGTTGTAGGCAATTTAAACAAACCTGTTGAGTATAACTTACTCAATAAACACTCTTAAATTATAGTTTATTTAAATAAAAACAAAAAACTGTGCACAGGTTCAGAGTACGATAGATATGCGCAAGCCACGATTAGGCGTATCGCATAGAGCAGAAAAAACCATCGATGGTACTATCGATACATCAATGTGTTCGATGCACATGTACGTTGCACATCGAACCTTGAATACCCAATGGACAATTCCTCCGATATGAAGTCAATTATGATATATATACATTTGCTTATTCTATGTTAAAAGACCTTTACATGTCAAGGATATACAAAATAAAAGTTTCTTTTGATATCGTGAATTTGTATTTGTTTCACACATATATCACAAAGAAACATTACAATCCTATAGTTTACTGTTACTGCACTAGCAACTTATACTATGGTCTTAGGAAATTTAAATTAATTTGAAATACAAGTAATTAACAAGAAAAGAAAAGAAAAGAGTGAGATCTGTGACAGGACGATACTCTAGGTTTGAAACACACTAAGGTCTGTTGTTGACACGAAGGTCCCTGGCAATGTCTATGTTTCTAAGAAACCACTCTGCTCCTGTGATCCTCGGTAGAAACTGACTCTGGAAAGTGCGAATCCTGTTTAAATGTGTTAAATACATGAACTCCGTACCTCCATACCGGAGCCAGGACTATCTTATAAATTATCACCTTGTTGGATAGGCTAAGTTTATTAATCGCATTTTCCTGGCATTGTCTTCTAGCTTGCCCCTGACTTTTGCGATGTGGCCTCTGAAAGTCAGGCAGGTGTCGAGGGTGAGATCTGTCGACGCGACTCTACTTTTAAACCAGTACTCAGTCAGTATATACATTTTTGAGCTTATACATTTATAAAGATTATACATCTACCATTTAGATTCTACATCTTCTCCGATTGAGGGCGCACTGAAAGAGGCAGAGTGTGGGAGCCAGAAAGAGAATTACACTAGTCAACACGATTTTTCCTCAAGGAACAAAACGAACTTTTTCTTAAAGATTTGGGGCTTAGAAATGGTTTGATGATATTTTTTTTTTTTTCTATGGCAGAACTTTTTTTTAAAGAATTTTTGAAAACTGGTATTTTTTTTTAAGCTTTTTTCATAGGTAGCGCCTCTTTTTTTCACATAACTCAGGTATCTTACGTCTGGTTGTTATTTTGAAAAGATAATTGAAACAGCTAGAAGTTAAGCCCAAACACTTTGTGATTACAGCTTACCGTCTGGAATATATAAAGCATTGAAATGCAAAAATGATGATGTGCGGTATTTTTTACGAAATTTTGACTTTAAAAACTCAGGAAAAGTCGAAAAAAAATTATATCCTGTGTCCTCTATTTTTGCATTCATTTCATTGCATTGCATAAATTTTGCGTTGTTCCAGGTATCGCTCATTAAAATCTATGGAGAGACTTTGGAGCTAAAATTCGTTAACCAAACCTAAAATAAGGAAAAAATGAAAAAAAAATAAATTTTGGAAGGTTGCGGGCCCAACTGCCAATTGGGAACAAAGCAAACAAAAAAGGGTTGTACATTTGGTACCTGATCGCGATCCCAATTCCCAAAATTTTTCAAAAAAAAGTTCTGCCATAGAAAAAAAACCATAATTCTTTAAAAAATTTTAAATCTCCATATCTATCAGAAAAAGTCGGTTTGGATCCTTGAGGAAAAAAAAAGTTCGATTTTGTCGAGTAGTGTTATTAGTGTTGTGACGTGCTGGAGGTTGGGGAAGCCTGAAAATTAATTTCTTCATTCTGGCTATAACAACATTGATACAATCTTAATAAGATTCTACAATCTGATAGATATGGTAGTTCTCTACGATACTAAAATTTTCGTCCTTTGTGGGGCGGAAGGGGCGGGTCGAAATTTTGAAATACACTGTAGCAGTGTGATATCACATGAGTCTGGAAAATAAATTTGGTTGCTTTTATAGTCTCTGAGATCTAGGCGCTCATCAAGACGGACAGACAGACTATATCGACTCGGCTATTGATTCTGATCAAGAATATATAAACTCTATGTGGTCGGAAACGTTACCTTCTCTGAGTTGCACACATCCACTTTTACCACAAATCTAACTCTTCAAGTACGGGCACAAAAGGTTTTTCTGAACTGATTGTGTACGGTCCTCGTATATTTTGTATTGGGGGCACTATACACAAGAGACGTACTTTAAAAGTTACGAGATAGAGTCTTAGTTATACATATATGGGTCGTCAAATTCCTTTGACCAACTCTTGTCATTACTTTGCATTTCGAGGCATTTTAAGGTGTAACATATTTGCACAACACCATGACTGAAAGTTATTCAGATCGGATTAAAAGCGGGAGTGAAATGGCATACATGAGTACTCGAGAGTTTGTTAATTAATAAAGAGCCTGAAAAGTAGGGTGCCTATATAGCTACCCTGTGGTACTCCATTGGTAACCTTAATAGGTGAAGAGAAGCAGTTTTTAGAGGACTCTTTGAGACCTAGAACGAAGGTAGCTAGAAATCCATCTCAAAACAGGAATGATAAAAGATTGCTTCCAGATCGGGGGTAAGCATGGAGAATTAAAGGATAGGGTGAATAGTTTAAGCAGTGGTCCACGCAGATCGTTGGCACAGCTGCTGACAGAAAAAGTTGACCCAGCTTTTATATAGCGATAGAAAAGGAGAACCAACTTATTAAAAATTTTGTATAAAGTGATAAACCAAGGAGTCTTCACAGATCTAATCGGACAAGAAAGTGCGACATTGATTACATTGTAATAAATGCAAGTACAGAGCGGACCAATCCAAATCCCTAATGAGGTTATTAAGCTTCGCAATACCCGCTTGAAGTACTCATACTTTCGTTCCGGAAGCGTTTGCAAACACTGTTTCATGGCACCACTCCACTGAGCCAATGCTTGAAACACACCTCTTCGATTACTGTCCCCCGCACTTTGCCACGACCTCTGGTCGACACGTATAATAGGGCAAGACCTAAGGAGGAGTCACTAAGCAGACAAATTACAGCCAAGCAAATGTCAACCGATTTCCACTCAGCGAGTATGATGTGATGAGCTTCAAGGAGGAGAAGGAGTTCTTGCCTTTATAAGTTTATTGTTTACTTTATATCGCATCGTATATTACTCATTATAATAGCTAACAAATATAATTTATAAAGTTGTAGGTACTTTCATCGCGTGTTTGAGTGTGTGTCTGTTTATAGTAAGAGTACATATAGCCAAAAAAACAAATGCACAACTCCAGGGAGAGTGCACATGTTAATAATTTGCATTGCAAAGCATTTTCTGTAGCAGACTGTAAGTAGATCTAATAGAGCACAAAGAAGCATTGCATGAGCAGCTGGAACTGATGGCGGTTCGCGTTCAGGTTCATTGGAAGTTGCTGAAGTCCGTCTTCAGCTTGATGGTCGGCTTCTGTGGCTTGGCCAGGAGACCGTTCCTCTGGGCTTCCGATGCCTTCTGGGCAATGTTGATTGACTGCTGCTGACTGCGTATGGCTGCCTCCAGTTTCTGGCGCAACTCCGGGGTCTGACCCATCAGTGCCTTGAACTCCTGCGGATATTTCGGTCCAATCTTGAGCAGCCATTGCAGGGCCTGCTCGTGCAGTTGACGCTGGTACTTGGCTACGGCTCTCAGCCGGCTGGGGTCGGCCAGGAAACCAATCAGTACAGGCACCAGTAACGTCAGCATTTGTATGTCTGTGAATATGGTAGAGAATAGTGATTAATATTGTTTGAATGCTTGAAGAGGACACTGAACATCTGTCCTATGCAACAAGTACGACCCCATTGGGTTCCAGCTATCCGCAATATAATTATGTACGACCATCAAACATGCAACAATTAAAGCGTCATTCCGTCTATGCACAGCATCTACAGCTATTCGTTCCACATCCTCTATTCTATGGGTTTGTGCAATAACATTAAGTGTGCAATAAAAGTACAATGTGCTTCCGAACTAAAAGACAGTTGATATGCGTTTCAGTCCGATTAAAGACTGTCTAGTCCACTTTCACTAGCTTTAAACTAGTTTTATCTTCGATTCGTGTAGTTCTAAAGTATGAGTATGGATCGGTCGAATTTTATTGTCGAATATTATTGGGACACGGGCTGGGAACCGAATTCAATCAGTTGCAGCTCGGATATAGTCACTGAAGTATGTAGAACGGATAAAGATTGTAGATCTACACGTATTCCAGTTATCTTTAGTTTCAGTTTTAACCCCTGTCTGCCCAACTGTCTTACAATTCGGAAACGCAATGTGGGGAGCGGGTGGCTTGAAACATGTGCATTCTCTTGATCGTGCTCTTTCATTTACCTTGTAGCAAGTTCATGTTTCCTAACGGTTTTAATTTGGGTTTAGTTTTAGTTGTTTTTTGATTTGTAATTTGTGAGTGTTTTAAATGATTTGTGAATTGATTAAAAAGAGAAGACGGAGAGAAAAGAGCAAATATATAATAACCGAATCTCTTGATCTTGTCTCGCAAATGTGCTGTTATATTATTATTATTTTTGTTTGGCTGCATTCAAAGAGAGAGATAGAGAGAGAGAGAGAACAAGATGGCGCCGCAGCTTAACGGCAAATGCAAATGTTGATGTGAGATGCCGATGCCGGACAATGGTGAGTGTCAACTAGAGGGGAAGGAAGGGGGTTATCGCGATTCGCATTGAATCAAAACAAGCTATACACTATGTAGAGGGTATTCCCGTTATAAAACCAAAAAAATGAAGCTCTAGCGAAACCCTAAACTGATTACAGCTGTTAAAAAAAAAAAAAATAATGAAACTAAGGAAAACTAAAGTCTATCAGTCGAAATGATAAATATAATGATATATATCTTTCTAGTCACTAAAATCACACGATACTTTTGAAAATCTGTTCTTATGTTTTCTATCTTTTCTTCCGTGTTTCATTTAATGGAATGTTTTCTACCAAAAACCATTGAAATCGATATTTAATTGATTTCTGATCTATTATATTCGAATAAACTAACTAAATTACTCGTAAAATGTGTATTGGGCTTGGCGAATTTTTTGTATCGCTCGGCCTTATTTCGGGTCAAGTAAATAGTTCCAGATGCAAGGAGTCGCATATGGCAGTCTGTAACCTGCCGCTGGACCAACTTTGGGTCCATTCGTTAGGAATAATTCAGACAGAAGACAAACTGATCCATCCCAGAATAATCCGCCATGATTTGACAAACAGGAATACCCCAAGTGGAGAGAGACAGAGAAGATCAAACAACTCGAGAGAGCGAGCACTAATGGGCTTATTTGAGAGCACTTACGGTGCTGTGGCTCGGCCAGGTCGATCAGCTGCTCCACTGTGACAATGCTCTCCAGGGTGACTTGAAGCTCCAGTTCGCTGGTCGGCGTCTTGCTGGACTCCGCGTACAGGGACTCGATGATGCGCGGCGCCAGGGCATGGATGTAGGGGGTGGCCGTTTTGAGCTCCGCTTTGGCGAAGATGGAGCGCGTGGTCTCGATGCATTTCAGTTTGACCGACAGGTGCTCCGACTGCAGACACTGCCGGAAGTGGTTAATGCAGGGATACTGCAGCGAGGGCGCGGCCACCACGGAGGCTGGAGTGTGGAGAATGAAGACGGCGATGGCCAGCAGCATGGTGACCTCGTCAACCTTTCGCTCCTCGTTGTCGCCGGCCGTCTTTGTGAGATCTATGACCGTGGCTAGGGCGCTCTGCAGCAGCTGCTGCCAGTCCTCGGCGGTGTCCGGCTGCCGCGACCACCGATGCACGCAGACCGAGCGCAGGCACTGAAGGGCGGCCTGCACGGCACTAGTGTTGGCCAAGATGCTGCTGTCTATGGCGGACTTGTTGGCTATCTCCTTGACGATGCTAGTGGTCATGTACAGGATGGTGGGCAGAATGGTGAGAGCTCCCCGTGGCGTGCAGAGGTCTAGCAGCTGTTCGACGCACTGCAGCCCACTGGCAACCAGCAGGCCACTGTCGTCGCTCAGCACGGAGAAGAAGGAGGCGGTGGAGTGGAACTTGGCGTAGGCATAGTCCAACTGAAGGCCCCCCGTTCCACTCTGCTTGGTGGGGTTCATGCTCGGTATCTGGCGCACGAACAGGCAGAGGCACACCTCCAGCACGGCGTACACATGCGAGCTGCCGGGCTGCATCGAGTTGTCTTCCCCCAGCTGCAGGCTGTCCTCCGAATTGGCGTTGTCGTCGCGCCTGCTGTCGAGATCCTCGCGCGCCGCCTGGATTGTTTGCTTGAGGATCTCTACGCACAGCAGCTGTACCAGCAGCTCGTCGCGCGTCAGGATCTGGCGGTGCAGCACGTGGCACAGTTCGATGGTCAGGGCTCGATCCTTGATCAACTGCTGGCGCGCCCAAGTCGAGTCGAAGATGCTGTGTAGGGATCGCAGGCAGCTGACGATGTTTTTGGGCTTCTCGGAGCTACGCATGCTGCACAGGGCCTCCATGCAGATCCCGAATATCATGTGGAAGCGGTCTGCCGAGAGGGAGCCGTGCGTTATATGATTGTTGTTGGACTCCGCCGATGAGCTGGCGGCCGTGTCCTGGTGCCGGGCAAAGCCCTCGTCGCGCAGCCAAAGGGCCGAGGCATACAGCAGTGGGGGCCAGCTGGTCATGTAGTGCGGCTTCGAGGAATTGATGGTGTCCGTCGTGTAGAAGGCGCCACCGTCGTGCGGCAGCTGCGACTGAAACTCGGCCGGCAGCAGCAGCAGAGCGTGGTCCTTCATGGCGTTCAGCCAGTGCGTGGACAGATTATGCAGCTCCGGCTGCACCAGACCCAGCAGACTCTCGCCTCGGCTGTCTGATGTGGTGTCGGGGTCCACTTCCGCCTCCGCCTCCACTCCGGTCAGGGACTGGACCGCCTGCTGTGACTGCAGCGAGAGGAGGGAGGCTGGCGCCTTGCCGTTGCCCATCATGGCGACAATGTAGACTTCGGCCCATGCCTTGAGGATGCTCAGCTTCTCCAGTGTGGCCATGGACTCGTTGTACAGCTGGGTGCTGTTCGTCTTCGTGTACAGCTTGCTGAGGGAGCTCACGAGCAGCTGGTGGACGCGCCTCAGGTCGCTGATGTCCCGCGCCACTCCCGACCCGATCCACGCGGAGCACACCTCACAGGCGGCGGCCGTCACATGGGAGGGCGTGTCTGGAGCAAAGGCGGGACGCAGTGCAGCCCCCACCTGGGCCTGGAACTGCTCGAGCAGCAGGTGGCCGGGAAATTCGGGCTCGGGGACGTTGGCGAAGCGATCGATGATCTCCTGGAGTGTGCGTAGTCCCTCCAGCCGCAGCTGGTCCGAGTCGGAGGTGGCCGCCATGAAGGACATGCGAATCAGCTCCGCCAGGTGGAGGATGAGGTAGTCGCCGCGGGACTTGATCATCTGCTGCTCCTTGGCCTGCAGCAGGTCAAAGTGCATGGGGCTGGAGGCCTCGCAGCTGGAGATGATCCGCCGGACGCAGTGGGATGCAAAGACGCGGGTGGGCCAGCGGGGCTGGACGGCCGGATGTGTGGAGGTGTTCTCCTCCGCCCTGTACTCGGTCACATCGTCGGCATACTCCTCCTCCTCGTCGTCGTCCTCTTCCTGCCCCGACGTGTGATCCTTGTTCGCGTGATCTCCCCCTGTGGGGGGGCCATCCTCGGCCAGGCCCCCCTCCACGGCCACCGTGAGCACATTCTTGCAGAGACTCAGCCAGGAGCTGAGGTTATCCGCAGCCAGCATCTGCAGCATGGAGGTCAAGGTGTCGTGGATGTTCTTCAGCATCTCGGCGTCCGTTTCGGTGTCCAGCATCGAGAAGAGCAGTCCGGGCAGGCCGTACTCCGTGAGCACCAGGTCCGGGCACTGCTCCGGGCTTATGGTAAGCGCCAGCTCGCACACTTCCTTCGCCTCGCGGTGCGCCAGCTGGCGCAAGCAGGAGACTGCCGCCTTTCGCAGGATGAAGTAGTTGCTGGCGAGCATCTTGACCAGGGTTGGCACCAGCGAGTCCAGCTGCAGGGACTTGCAGGCGAACAGATGCAGCTGTTGCAGACAGCCGATCGCCTCGGCCTGCACCAGGGGGTCCGCATGCGCCTGCAGCAGGGCGGCCGAGCACAGGAAGGAGCCGCGCATGGCACAGACTCCGGCAGCACTCCCTTGGAGCTCCGGTCCCACGGTGGTGATCAGGGCATTGACCACACGGCCCACACACTGGTGCACATCCACGTGGGCATGCGGAACGCTAAGCAGCAGCTTGAGGGACATCGTGAGCGCCGCCTCGACATAGCCGCGGAACATGGGACCGCCGGAGTCGGCGATTTGGGCCAGGGCGTACAGTGACCAAACCTGCACAACCGGCGAGGCGCTATCCTGGGCCAGGGCCAGTAAAATGGACACACTGGTGCTGAGATGCTGCGAGGAGCCCATGCCGCCCACATAGCGATGTAAGCAGCCAAGGGCGTGCGAGTGTCCCGTGCGTGTGACCACATCCCTGGCCGACTTGAGCTTGTCGAAGCTGTTCTGGGCCAGCTCGGCGGTGAAGTGCGAGTCGCCCACGACCTGAGCCAGCCTTCCCAGAGCCTCGCCTCCCGCGCAGCGTATGGTGGAGTTGGCGCTGGTCAGCGAGGCGACGATTAGGGCGGTTGCGCTCCTCCGCACATCCTCCTGGCCGAGGCTCGTCTTGCTGTCCGTCAGATTCTTCAGCGCGCACAGCAGAGCCGTGAAGATGTTCATCTGCACCGCCTCCTGGCGGCTGCTCTTCGCCTGCTTGATGCACTCGCCAAAGTGCTCCAGCATTTGCAGCCGATGCTTGTTGGCCACCTTCGGGAAGATGGTGCCGTACAGCGTCACGGACATGTCGATCACAGCCACGCCCAGCGGCAGGGGGCCGGGACACTGCTGAGCCTTTTTGATTAGCTGCAGGTTGCCGGAGCCGCTGCCACCAGAGTTTCCAGTGCCGTGCCCAGAGTTTGTCGTCGAGCCACTGTTGCTGCCGCCGCTGTTTCCATGGGCATACCAATTGGGGCGGTACAGGCAGCAGGGATCATGCTCCAGTGCCCCCGAACCAGCCGCACTATTGGGCTGCAGCTAATGGAACAGAAAGAGCGGGTCATTAGTCAAAGTGTTTCAATTAGTTAGGCTCACATATAGAGTAGTTTAATAATAACAAAGGAAAATAATACTATATGCTATATAAAATACGAGTATTTAGGAATGTATTTGTGTATAAGGGTTGAGAAAAGCGAAAACGGTTTACTCAATGCATTGTACGATATCGATATTCAAATTGAAATTAAAAGATGATAGCGAAAAGTAGGAAGATCAATTCTGAGTGCTAAATAACCGTTTGATGGGCGTACATTTTTGGAGACCTGATGAAAACCAACCATCCAAATACATAGGTAAAAACTTGTCATCTTCCTGGAGAATATTTTTAAAAACAAAAACAATAGAACCATTTTCAATCAGCAAAGTTCTTTGAATTCATAGTTGGGGCCGAACTGTAAATAGCAGCCTACGTACATATGTACGTCGAAACTTGCTATCGTTCGTCCGCTTTACTGCAAATAATACTCAACAATAAACTCAACAGCAATATGTCAGTACTGCTATTAAAACAGCTCAACAGAGGGGTTAGAAAAGCTTTGAGGAGAAGGAGAGGCATCCTCTGTGTTCATGCAAAAGATAAATTGTAACGCAAAACAAAAGAAGTAGATCCGGAATCCGGATCTGATCTGTTAAATTTATAGACTCTGATTCTCTCAAAAAATAAATAAACAAACGAATGAACACGTGCATCGATCGTCGCAAATCCACTTACATGCTCGCCATCGACTTTGCGATTGGGCTCCATCTTTGGGAATGCATTTGGGAATTGCAGAGAGTAGAGAGAGAGAGAGAGAGAGAGAGAGAGAGAGAGAGTAAAGGAGAAAGGGTTCAAAGGAAAGAGATATGTTAGCACACCAGGAACACAGGATGGATACACAGGAAACCCTACAGAAACCCCAGAAGAGCTTGCCTTTCTCTCTTTCTTTCTGGCTAGCTGGAAAACCCACCTGATCCTCGATGGTGCGATGGTTGGTCTCCTGGAGCCAGGTGCCCAGAATAATGGAATCATCGCCATGACAGAGCGTGCGCAGCAGAGAGTTGGTGGTGTTGGCCGCGTTGTCCGAGAGCGTGAACTCCGAGACGAGCATGCGGAGGAGATGCGTGTAGGAGGCCTCCAACGCATTGGGCGGCAGCAGAGTCAGCGTCTCGAAGAGGCGTAGTCGCACCATGGCCGCCGGAGCCTTCAATTGGGTGCCATAGCTCTTGAGGATAGTGGCCAAACTGCGGGGAGAAGCATTGTTAATTATTAATTCGCACATAACGAAGAGCTGAGAGGGGGAAGGTAGACGAGATCTGGATCTGGATGTGTACTCACTTGACCAGCATTGCCAGAGCACTCTCGATGGGAGTGAGTAGCCGTCGGGTGATGTCCTCGCTGACCAGTTCCGGACAATTGAGCAGGAAGCTGTGCATCACAGAGAGGGCACCGGCGCGCCCCTCGAGCGTCACTTGCCAGGTGAAGGCATCGCCGCGGGCCTTCTCCGACTCGAGCTCCTTGTTGGATCGAGGGAAGGAGTTGCGCCACAGGAGCAGCATGCGCGGCAGCAGACCCTTGACCACCGGCGATCCCAGGGTCATGATTGCCCCGATCAACAGCCAGCCGGCCTGGGTGCGGTGCAGCGACATGCGGCTATTCTGGGAGGCGGAGCGCAGCAGCTCCTCGGCACAGTTGAAGACCACCTTGCCCTTGGTGTGGGGTATGCCCAGCGGGGAGTAGCGTACGCTGCCCAAAATGGCCGCCAGGGCGCAGCTGTAGCCGGCGATGGCCTCTGGGGAGGAGCGCATCTGCTCAATGGCCTCGATGAAGCGGTCGATGAGAGGCGTGATCTGGCTGGGTACGGCCACGCAGCAGCAGCGCAGGCACCAGGCGGCCGCCAGTCGAGCGGCGGCGCACGGATGGACCAGCACCGCGCAGGTGGCGTCGATTGTCTGCAGGGACTGATCCCCAAGCAGGTTCTGGGCCGTGGTGCCCAGGCAAATGAAGAGGGAGCTCAGCTCCTGAAGGGCGCACACGAGCAGGTGCTGGCTGAAGAGGGTCTCCTGGTTGGAGTCCTTGGCGTTCTCCGGATTGAAGTCGATCGAGCTCATCTGCTTCGCCACCATGTGGATGAGCTCCTTGCAGGCGGCCGTCTGGGCCTTCTCCCCCAGCATCTTGCCGATCGTCGAGCGCAGAATGAAGTTTATGCACTTGCGCGAGTAGACGGCATCCACGTGCGAGCAGGCCGCCTTCGGATTGGCCACCAGATCCAGGACGTGGGCCAGGAACACGCTCAACTGGCGCTCAAGCCAGACGCTGCCCATGAACTGGACAAACACCACGTAGGCATGGGTGACGCCCACACGCACCTCCCGATTCACTCCGGAGCTGCCCTTGATGATCTCCCCGGTTCCCTTGAGGAAGGAGGCTCCGCCCCGCAGGAATCCCGACATCAGAATGCCCAGCGCCTCGTCCAGCGACACCAGACGCTGCGTGGCTCCCTTGCCCGCCTGCAGGACAACTGCCTGATTTGCTTTCTTGTTCTGGGCCGCCTCCGCCAGCTGCTGGGTGTAGGCCAGCAGCGTGCCCAGCAGTTGGGCCACCGCACAGCGCACCTCGTAGTTGCTCCCGTCAAAGGCGCGAAAGCAGAGCGTTCCCAGGCTCTCCAGCTCCGTCTGGTAGAGGAACGGGGCACTGTATATCATCTTGAGTATGCAGCGGGCGGCGGCCACGCGCACGGCCATTACTCGGTCGAGCAGGCAGTGCTTGGCCGCCTTGTAGATGTCCTTGTGTACGTTGGCAATGGCCGTGCCCATGCCGGCGCTGACCTTCTCCAGGGTGTGCATGATCTCGATCCGCGCTTGCGACTCGGCGTTCTTCAGGGTGCGAATGAGTATCTGGACAGTGTCCTCATAGGTTCTGCCCATCATCCTGCCGAGCTTTTCGTACATCGAGCCCAAGACGCAAATGGCAGCGCTGAAGAACCGGCGGGAGTAGAATAGAATCAAAATGGGATTTTATTTGGCATCGATTGATATATCTTACAGCTTGGTGGGCAGATAGCTGGGCGAATCATCCTTGTTCTTGAGTATGTCATTGCAGGCATTCACCGTGTCGAAGAGCATGAAGGTGTCGCCCACCGAGAAGAGGGTGGCCAGTGCGCCGGCTATCAGCTTCCGCATGGGCGGACCAGGGGCTCCCTGGATGCGCTCGGACAGCTGCTGGACCAACTTCTTCTGGTTGGCCTTGATCTCGTGTTTGGCCACATGGGGCAGCGACTTCTCCAGGTACCGCAGCCACTCCAGCTCGAACACCGGCCGCTTTGCCTCGGGCAGCTGCTTCATAGCCGCCTCATTGAGGGTCAGTGTGTGGGCGAGTTCCATTTCGTCGCGTGGTGGTGGTGTTGATGCCTCCTCTGGATGCTGTCCCCCAGCGGATGGGGCGGTGTGTATAAACGATCTGCAGAAGAGCGAGTAAAAGGAACACAAGAAAAATAAATTTATTGTGGAATGTTTCGTTAATTAATTCATAAACAATTGGATGATGGAGTGGTGGGAATGCCTATGGATCTTTGGCCTTGACCCTACGATTCTCCATGCCTCAACGATTGTCAAGCAGCTGCTATATCGATTAGCATGTGTTCACATTGATCGATAAAATGTAATAGTTTCTTTATTTCAATCGCCCCCCAAAAAGTAGTTTCTTTTTTTATTACTATTTGTTCACACAATTAGGTCATCACAACAAACAGATGCTGGAAGTGTCTACTAGGTACTTCTGGATACCCATTACCCTCGAATTCAAATAGGAGGAATTGTGGAAAACAATTATGATTCAACTTCCAACCCAGCAAATTTAATATACATTGATGACTCACGGAACCAAATATCAAATATTTCATTTAAAAATTTGTGATTATGCTGCTTAGCTTTATGCTTTCACATCTCAGAAAATGATTGAATAAATACATATTTGACAACTTTATAGGTGCACACAATAAAGGGTATCAGCAGCATGTTACTGAGCGGATAGAAAGAGAAAGGAAGAAGAGAAGAGATGCTGCCTGCCATCCGATTGTGTGGAAAAGCATGCATCACCCGGTCTATATGCGTATATGACGATGGGAATAACGACTCCCATATGTATGTGTACATCTGCCAAAGAAATATTCAAATATATATTTATTATACGTACGAGGGCGGACTAAAAAGTAATCGACCTTACAAAAAGAAAACATTTCTAACCACCCATATTTTATTTGATTAGTATTTTCTCCCAGCTGATTGATGAAATAGTTTCAGGCGGTTTTTCCAACCGTGTTCGTTTTGGCGGGAGTTTAAGGTAACTTTTGCATTTTTAGAAAAAAAATGTGAATTTCGTGTGCTGGTTAAGAATTATTTTTTTTGGAAAAAACCCACCACTGAAATCAAGGAAAAGCTTGCTAAATATTGTGGGATCTCTTCTCCATCGATTCAAATGGTAAAAAACTGGTGAACTGTATTTGGTTGTGCCCGTACAAGCACAAACAATGACGCACATCCTGGACTCCTAGTTATGGTCCCATACCCGAAGAAATTTAAAAAAAATTCACGATATGGTTTTGGCCGATCAGATATTGAATTTGCAAGATATTCTGAAAGCCATAGGCAACTAAATGGCTAAGTGGTTTCTATTTTGAGTGATCACTTGGGTATGAAATCCAATTTTTTGGAAGGGATAACAAAGGGAGAAATTCCGGAAAAAGTATATAGAGCTCAACAAAGATTATGTAGACAAATAAAAAAGAATAATGAAAAATAAACGTATTTTTTCTTAGATAGGCCAACTTTATATCGGACCGCCCTCGTACATATCGGTGGCACGCTTCAACGGAAGCTGCACCATTACCAGAAGCATGTCCCCGCCCCCGCCCCCTAGCTAGGGTGTAAAATGGGACAACACCCACGCATACATACATATGTATGGATGTATTTTCATTCAGCTTTCAGATAAGTACGGGAAAGAGCTGTCGCCTTGGGCTCGATAGCGCACAGCCCATTGACATAGATGGGGACAAAGTCAAGAGGAGCCAAATTATTAATACGAACAAAGACTTTTCTTCGGAAAAATGAAACGAGAGGAGCTGACGGAAGGGGGATGAGGACTGGCTCTTGGCCCCGTCATTGCTGGTACATTTATTACGAAATGATATCCGCCGGCTATGGGTAATGGGTATGTGCCATAGCACAAAGAAAGACAATGGAAAGGATAGGATGTGTGAGTGTGGGTATGGATGGTCGAAAGGAAAGGGGTACAGTACACCATGCGGTATGGAATACTCTATAGTGCATGCCACGTTGGTATACTATAAATCAGCGGTGGACAGGATTTTCGCACTCGGATCAGTCTTTAACTATCCTCTCTTTTGCAGCATTCAATTGTGCGTCTCGAGTTGAACCGCATCATGTGAGAGCGATGCGAGCAAGGACTTGCCCACAGCTACTATGCACATATAAAATACTATAATTATATCTATTTATCCCTATAATACCTTTGAGTATTGACTGTAATAATACATAAAGTATTATATTCAATTAACCTAAAAGAAGCAGAATTTGTAACTGGATAGGAAGTTAACAAAAATTCGAACTTATCTAATCACTTCCTTAATTGATTTGAAACCAATAAGTGCGATACGAGTATTTTTTAAATTCGATGTACATTTTTGGATTTCTTTGGAGTTTCCTAAGGGTATCCAGATTTTTGGTTAGCCCAACGAGAATTGGTTTGGTTTACTGCTTTCCGTCTTTGTTGTCTCTTGCTTTTGTTTGCGGTCGCCTGAAGTGGCGCGTGTGCGGCGCACAGAAGGGGCACAGCAGTGAATGCAGAGGGCCTGGCTCAGGAGGACCTCGAACTGCCAGCCATTGACGTCTGCAGGCTAAAGTTACATAAGACGCTGCTGGGCTGCTGCTTCTGCTGCGACCCCCCAATGTTTCCAAGAATGGGCACAGGTCTTAAAGGAAAACAAGTCAAACCTGTAAGGTGCAATATACAACAGCAGACTAGACCAGACCATAACAAACCACAGAGAGAGAGGCTAGACGACGGGCATGTCCATCTTTAGCGTACAGGGTGTCTGTGTCTCTCTGTCGCGTTCCGCAGTGTGTGGTGTGTGCGGGTGGGTGGTGATTTCTTGGTGGTGGGTTGCTTGACTTTTCCAACCTTCCTCCCTCCTACCTCTCTATGTTTGATATTGTTGTTTTTCCCTTACCTGCGCGCCTCGTTGATAACTTTGCGCAGAAATTGCGGCGTGCGTGCAAAGTTAAGGTTTTCCATTCCAGTGATGCTTCACAGCATTACAGCCGCCGAACGAACGAACGAACGAACGAAAGAAAAGAAAACTTTCTATGTTGTTGCCCTGCCTTGCCTTGCCTGTTTGCTTGCAGGTTGCAACTTTCTCACAAATCAATAACTTCCTCTTTCCATCGGACACTGAACACACTGAAACGCAATCTTCAATCTTCAAGTCGGATGGCTATGGCTAGGCATAAAAGGTATGCATTTTTCTTTTCCTCTCCGCCGAATTTAATTTTAAAATCACTTGACGTTTAATGAATTTGAACAGCAAATGGCAAACTGAATAAATGAGACTATTCGCGAGCGTCGCGGTACTACGCGCAGCAAAACAGCAAATGAAATGAAATTTGGAGAGCGCGTCCAAAGCAGCGCTTGCAAAAAATCAACCCACCACCCATTGAGAGAGGAGAGAGCGTTACAGCCAAATGGAAGGGAGAGAGAGCGTTCACTTGCGTGTGTGTTGACGTCGCGCGCGAAAGACCAGCCAGAGCAGCTGATGGAGACGTGCAGCGGTAGAAACAGCAACAAATTGCCAATAACGATTAATGGGGGCGCCATTTATCGATAACACATTGAAGTACTTCTCAAACCAAAGACTTTAAAAAGCCCCCGTCATCAGAGAACTGCAAGTATGTCACTTTTTGCCACCCTACTCACACTAAACGAAAAGTGTGTGCCGGTGCCAGGCTAAGCAAAGCAAAGACACACACTTTTTTTCCATGAATACGCCATGGTGTGTAAGAATCTTTAAAAGACGTGACCGGCCCGTACCAGTCAACGAACTGGACTACCCCTCCGGGGCTTCCCATCTAAACTCACTACACACAGCTACGCACCTCATTCCCCGCGGGATCACCGCAAAGTATTACTTCACGGGGATGGGTTGCCTATGCACTCTCCATTCATCTGGACACGATCCGGACTGCCTCACTCGTCGTCGCCTCTATCGTCTGGAGCTCCTTGGCCACTACGACCAGTGCTAGGTCGTCAAAGCAAATTAGCTGGCATCCCTGCGGAAGCTGGATTCTCAGGACGTCGTCGTACATTATGTTCCACAGAAGAGGTCCTAGTACTGACCCCTCACCTTGTAGAGCTTCGGTCCTTCTTCCGTTTCGTACCTCAGTACCCCTCTAACAGATAAATGTCTATTATCCGGAGCAGGTAGGTGGGGATTCCTATTCTTCCGAGGGTCTCCTTGATCCGGGTCCAGTTCGCCGAGTTGAACGCATTATGGATGTCCAGGGTCACAACCGCACCAAATTTGGTAAAATCGCGCCAAATCTCCATCGGGTTCCCTCGATCGCCTTAGATGCGATGTCGGTGACCGCTCTGATGGCGTCGACCGTAGATCTGGACTTCCGGAATCCATACTGGGACTCTGACAGAGCTTCCATCTCTTCGATCACTGCTAGTAGTCTAGTGTACAAGACCTCTCCAAGACTTTACCGACTGCACCTTCCACTGATTGGGAAAAACTCCTTCCCTTAGGCATCTGTTGTAGGTGTCTACAAATACCTCCGTTGTGGTGGTTGCTCCAAGCTTTAAGGCCTTGTTGGGGATCCCGTCTGGTCCTGGGGCCTTCTTATCTCCGACTCTCCGGATGGCTGTCTTCACCTCCTCTGCGGAAATCGGCTGCCACAGTTCGTGGTCTTGGCGCGAAGAACTCCCATCCTGGTGTGGATGCTGTGGGAAAAGTGCCTCCACGATGCTACGAAGTAGCGTCGGGCCTTTTACTTCCGGCGTTTCCTGGCTTCTGATCTTCTTGCCGTCCCCCAAGGGCTTACACCCGCCTCCTCACATATCTGCTTAAAGCAGGACGCTTGGCTGCACGGAGATCGAACTCTGGGCGACCCCGCGCTCTCTGGTAGCACCTCCTGAACCGTAGGCATGCTTTTCTGATCTGGCCGATCTCTTCGTTCCACCAGTAGTAGGGTGCTCCTCGTCGGCTCGGCTTCCTTCTCGGCATTGCAGCGTCGCACGCCTCACGTTTTCAGCTTGGAGAACAATTTCAACGGTAAAAATAAAATTAAGTCTTCGTGCTTGTCGAAATTTTCATATTTCGACTAAGCGACGTTTTTCCCGCAGCAGGTACTAAAAAAAGCAACAAAGCGAAGGCTTGCAAAAAAAAAACACCTAACACCCAAGACACTCTATACATTTTGTGCTTCCCTCTTCACCCCATCTTTCTTTCGACTCCGATGCGTCAACGTATGCCACACACACTCATGCACACAGCTTCCTACTCACTTCTGTTACTTGTCCAAACACTAGTGCATTATTGTAATGTACACTCAGTTGTCCGGTGGTTAGAAACACCGGGTGTCAAAATCACTTTACATTTACACGGCACCTTAAGTGCCTTTGGCTTGTTGCAGTTCTCTGCCCGTCATATACTCAAAACCAGTACATGAACAGGATGTTCCTGTTGGTGCACCAACCATCGTTTTTTGGTTCACACACATAAATCTGATTCATATATTTCCCTATGCAATATTGCATATTGCGGTTTTTATACCCGGTACTCGAAGAGTTTACGGATATATAAGTTTTGTGGTCGAAGTGGATGTGTGTAACGCACAGAAGGAAACGTTAAGGACCCCATAAAGTATCAAATTCAGAGTCCATATAGCCATCTGTCCGTCTGTCCGTCCGTGCGTCTTGTTGAGCGCCTAGATTTCAGAGACTATAAAAGCTACAGCAAACAAAATTTGGACAAGTAGAGTCGGGCCACTACTGCGACTCACAACGCTCCCTCTCGTTATAGCTGGTATCACAGTCTCTCAGTTGAAGTGTAGTGAAATACGACCTTTTCAATCAATATAGAAATTAACGCAATAATAATCGTTTACAGTAGCACAAAGTTGCGTTACTAAAACAAACCATGAAAGAGTCTGGAAAAATGACTAAAACAAGCAATGTAGGCTATCTCCAGTATCCGAAAAATGTAACATGTTAATCGTAACAACTATAACGACTTTGTTCTATTAATATGTACCTACTATTGATGTCATTAACTTAATTACATATTGGTACAGTATGTGCTTTTCAGTTTACTGCTGTTTTGGACTTTTGGGCTTTTTGGATACGTTTTTCGATTATCAAAAGGATTGGCTAATTTGTATATGCGTAACAGCTGAAAAAGATCCCACAGATGAAATTATACAACTGGTTTAGTATAATTGATGATATTTTATTGCTTAGTAAAGCATGAAGCACGATGTTTGTATCTAGTCACTCGTGCAAATTCTACATAGCAAGTGTTACCTCGCTTAGGATTTGTTAAGCAACCAAAACATCAAAGCCCACCCAATTGTTATCCCACTTCCTACTGCCGGGTGGGAGATCGGGCCAGGGTGTGTAGGTGAGGGTACACGCATAGGAGAGGCTAATATGTTCCTCGTTTTTATTATGGCTTAGATATACTTAGGCTTAGGGTAAGAACTGCATGCTGGGTATAAAGAACAGCGCCTTGGAGGTGGCACTATTGGGGTTGCCTAGATCTTTGACAATGCCCTGGACACGAGCCACCACATCACTGCGCTGGATGTCCCCGCGATCCAGCATTCTCTGGAACATCGTGTGCAGCTGCCTGGCCGCCGAGGCATTGGACAGATCGGAAAGCTGCTCGAGCAGATCCTGGGAGTAGCCCTCGTACTTGCTGAGATTGGCTGCCTTAGCGTCTCGCTTGAGCAGGTCGTAGACCAGCAGAAAGTCTACGTAGGGCTTGGTGGGCGGCACCCGCTTTTTGCCTGCCGTCGAAGTGGTACTCCAGCGGTCCATGGCCGACTCAAAGTCAAAGGCCGCACGCCCGTAGTTGTCGTCGTACAGGCGCAGAAAGTTGTCCAGCGATTCGACATCGTTTGTGAAGTCATCGTGCCGTACCTCGCTCTGGATGTCGCGTATCAGAGAAAGGGGTAGCTTGTCAAAGTCCGCATCATCTCCGATTTCATTGAAAAGGGCATGACCCTCGAGCGTCGGCTCTGGGGAGGGTGCAAACAGCGCCGGCCTGTGCGGTGGCGTGGGAGCCGAGGTTGGGCGCTCCGTGGTCGATGTTCGTTGCGGTGTCTCCCACCAACTGGGCGGTTGCCACCAGCCAGAGCCCGAACCCGAGCCTCCTGGACGCCGGGTTGTGGTTTTTGGCTTAATGGCCGTGGGCGTGGGCGTTGGAGGCAATGGTGTCGTAGAGCTCCCGCCATTAGATTCCATGTCAGAGCCATTTGCGTTGAATGGCGGCTCTATGGTGGTGCTGGAAAGCGGCTCGTACTGAAGCAGGTCGATGTAGTAGGCCAGGGCCTGCATGGAGGCGGGTAGGTAGCTGGTCAACAGACTGGCAGGCTCCGCCGGGCTCAAGAGGAATCCGAGCAGTACCGCCAGCAAAACCTTCTGTCTTAAACAACTACGCATTATACTGGTGGAAGTATCTTTGACCGTTTGACCGGGAAACGTTTTGATCTGGGGAGCTTTGGGCGAACAACTGAAACGAAACCGCTTCCCAGCAGCCAGCGAGCATCGATGGGTAGTTCTCGGTATCTGTATCTGGTTTCCAAAATGGATGCTCTCGGGGTTTCTTTTTTGGCAAACTTGTTGAGCCCAGAGGCCAGCGACCGCTATTGTCGCTTGTTGCGTAAACTTTGTAACCGTCGGCGTCCGTCGCGTCTTGGAGAGTTGTTCTTGGAAAGAGTGAAAGATGTTCCGTTGCCAAAAAAAGGAGAACCTGTTTTCCAAGAAAGGTGCCTCTGCCTCATAAATATGCAAAAAAAAAAAAAAAAACACACACACAAGCAACCCGAAAATAAACCTGAATTTTGTTTTATTTGTTTGGATAAAGAACAAAATAACTTCAATCCAAAGAAATGCAGGTTTCGAATCTTGAATGCAGTTTTGTTTGCACTGCGAAAGTTTGAGAGTGATTGATCGAGTGTCAAAAAAGCGCCCTTGCAAAAAAGCTTCCTGCCAAAGCAGAGAGCAAAAGAAAGAAAGAGAGAGAGAAGAGTGAGTACATTCTACCTGCCAGAGAAGCTAAACATTAACCTGTTGTTGTTGTTTATATCTGAAGATTGTTGTCCCCGTGAGCATAGAAGAGTTTTCGCTTTTTTTGAGGCAGCAACAAAACGGCACAAGGTAAACGGGTCACCATAACGGGTTTCGATTGCAAATTGTGTCACTATTCCTTTTGAGCACGCCTAACGGCTTGGAAATATCCACTAACACACACACACGTACTAGGAATGCATACATAAATCGTTGCTTTTGTAGACTTTTTTTGTATTTTCACCTGCAGCTAATTAGCATTAGCACTAGTCATAAGTATTGGGTGAAGCGTCAGAAATAACACACACCAAACAAGATAATAATACACATTCGAGCTGCTATCTGTCGCAGTCTCTCAAATGTCGACCGCACTCCCACACACATCCGCACCCATTTCTTACAAATGCTGTCATTGCATTAAATTTGTAAAAGTTTCACCGCACAACTCACCGTTTCACTTCAGTTGCCTGCACGTATCACTCGTTTTCCACTTATCACATATTTACTGTACTGCATTCATTTTAAATGAAAAATTGCATTTTCCACAAGTTTTCTACGAAAATTTGATATGTGTGTTTGATAAAAAAAAACATCGATACATCGCACAATAAGTAAACATCGATGACATCGATGTTTCTCCAGCTCTAACGACGAGCCCAGCTGTTTAGTCGTTGCACGTGTATTATTTTGTTTTTGATTTGCTGGGGAAAGGAAAGGTTTATAAGTTTTTAAGTTAAAATAGCACTGCAAAGGAATCACAATGGCCAGAAGACCGGAGCATTCAGCACCGCCAGAAATTGTGAGCAAATAAAAGGCAATGCAATCAAATCCATCGCTAATATATTCTCTCCCTCCTACAGTTCTACAACGACAATGAGGCAAAGAAATATTCAACAAAGTAAGTTGCTTTGACTGCACACAGAACAATATGAACTCATTTCGACTTACTCCAGCACTCGCATCATTGAAATTCAAGTGGAAATGGCCGAGCGGGCCCTGGAACTGCTAGCTTTTGCCGACGACGATGAATCCCGCTTGATTCTGGACATTGGCTGTGGGTCTGGTCTGTCGGGCAGCGTCCTAGAGGACAGCGATCACATGTGGATCGGCATAGACATATCCAAGTCGATGCTAGACATTGCCGTCGAGAGGGAGGTGGCCGGTGATGTGATATTGGGGGACATGGGCGAGGGAATGCCCTTCAAGCCGGGTACCTTCGATGGCGCAATCTCAATTTCGGCGCTCCAGTGGCTCTGCAATGCCGACAAATCCTACCACAATCCACACAAACGTTTGCTCAAGTTCTTTACCACACTCTTCTCCTGCCTCACGCGTACGGCTCGAGCCGTTTTTCAGTTCTACCCGGAGAATTCCGATCAGATCGAAATGGTCACATCACAGGCCATGAAGGCCGGCTTCTACGGCGGATTGGTTGTGGACTATCCCAATTCTGCCAAGGCCAAGAAATACTACTTGGTGCTGATGACGGGCGGATCGGCGGAGCTGCCAAAGGCTTTGGGTAAGTATCTGCCATGCATCAAATAAGAAACAAGCCTTGAGCTTAGCTTTGCCTGTTGCAGGTGCATCGCCGGAGGAAGAGCGTCGGGTGAACTACATTAAGAAGCGCGATGCCTGCCGCGAGGCCCGTGGCAAGGCTCCGAAGAAATCACGGGACTGGATATTGGCCAAGAAGGAGCGGAGGCGTCGCCAGGGCTTGGAGACCCGCCCGGACACAAAATACACGGCCCGCAAGCGCACCGGACGATTTTGATTAAAGAGATCCCGGCAGAGTCTTATACACAATTTGCATATTTATTTAAACATTTAAGCTATACACTATATATGTAGACTGTGGACTAGAGAATCTTGCTATGGCCTCTCCCCCGTGGTGGTGGGTGTGGGCCCCGACTGTTGCTGCTCCAATTCTCGCCTGTGCCGTTCTTGGGCTCTTTGCTTAGGAGTATCGTAGGAACTCTCGGAGAGAAACATCAGGTAAATGGCCACACCGCAAAAAATGAAAGCCAGCATTACAACATCCGTCTGGGTGGAGACGCTGCTGGTCTCCTTCTGGGTCTTTAGCCGTTCGTACTTGGCCTGCGCTGCTTGGCGGCGATCGAAGGACTTTCCGTAGTGGTTTCTTGACCATTCGTCGAAATCGTAGATGGGCGTCCGACCCTCGGAGTCGGCTACTTTGGATTTTTGAAAGCGGGACTTGTAGAACTTAGTCTCAGGGTCGTCCTCAACCACGGGCTCGGGCGCATCGTGGATATCCTGGGCATATTGTGATCCGGCTGTGTGAACTATGCCCTTGTCGTAGAGTCGTCGCAATCGATAATTGCCCAGCACCTCGTAGGCCTGATTGATGTCGCGAAACTTCTTGGCTGCGCTGTCGCTGCCCTGATTCTTGTCCGGATGATAGAGCATCGAAAGCCTGTAATAGGCGGCCTTGATTTCGTTTTGAGTGGACCTCTTCCCAATGCCAAGGGCTTCGTAGTAGTTCAGTTGCCATGAGCTGTAGGTTGTGTGGAGATTGCGTGTGAGTTGTCGCCAGAACAGTGGGCCATGCTGAAACATGGCTCTAAACGTTTGTTTATAACTTTTCGTTTCGTTTGTTTTGTTATATCACAAAAATAATCCAAAACAAATCGCACCGATAGACCGATAAACTTTACCATTAATAAAAATTGTAGTTGTATTCAAAATTGAAAATTCAGATTATGTGCAAAAAAATATCGATAGACCGATGAATGTTCGCTGTCAAACAGCTGTCGCCCTGTTGCAACTATTTTTGTTTTTGAATTTATTTATATATAGCACGACGCACGACCATTTGGTTGAAATTTTCTTCACAGCGTGCTTTATTTTCCGGCTAGCGTGTCTTTATCTGTGTGTGTATCCGACCGTGTGAGTGATCGAGAATTTTCTGGCTATTGAAATTTAGGCCAGAAGGTACGAGAAATCGTGAATCATCTGTGATCCAATCAACCTTAGGAAAGAAGATCAAATCCGATACTCCTTTCATTCAGAAAATTGTATAACTATGACAAACACCATCAGCAACGACGAAGCCTCGGCCGGCAGCCACAAAGACAAGGGTAACGAGGCTTTTAAGGGCTCCCAGTGGGACGAGGCAGTGAAGCACTACACAAACGCCATCAAGCTGGGTGGTAGCCACAAGGAGCTGCCGGTGTTCTACAAGAACCGCGCAGCTGCGTACCTGAAACTGGAAAAGTTCGAGAAGGCAGCCGAGGATTGCACAGAGTCACTTAAGTTAGTGCCGAACGACCCAAAGGCTCTGTTCAGGCGCGCCCAGGCCTACGAATCGCTGGAGAGGTACGAGGAGGCCTACCACGATGCCACGGCTCTGTTCAAGGCAGATCCGGGCAACAAGACGGTGCAGCCCATGCTTCAGAGATTGCATGTGATTGTTCAGGAGCGCGTGGCGCGCAATGCCAAAGTCTCGACGAAGGTTCAGAAGATGATGGATCTCACCTTCGACCTGTCCTTACCCCTGGAAAAGCGTCGCTCGGCGGCCAACAACCTGGTGGTTCTCGCCAAGGAGGCCACTGGCGCAGAGCTGCTCTACAAAGAGCACTGTGTGACCAGGGTGGCCACCCTGGCCAAAGTGGAGAAGGATCCGGAGATCTACATAAATATGGTGTACGTGGTAGCCGCCCTCTGCGAGAACAACGTGGAGCGGACCAAGGGAGTGCTCATGGAGCTGGGTGTGCCCTGGTTTATGCGTGTCCTGGACCAGAAGCACGAGGAATGCGTGGCCACGGCCCAGTACTGCCTGCAGACCATCATCAACGCCCTCTCCGGGCTGAAGAACAAGGCTGAATCCAAGCCGGACAAGGAGCTCTGCTCGAAAAACAATCGAGAGATCGATACTCTGCTCACTTGCCTGGTCTACAGCATCACGGATCGCACCATTTCGGGTCCAGCTCGGGACGCCGTCATAGAGTTGCTCACCAGAAACATCCACTACTCGGCCCTGGAGTGGGCCGAGCGTCTGGTGGAGATTCGCGGCCTGTGCCGCCTCCTAGAGGTGTGCTCGGAGCTGGAGGACTACAAGTACGAGAGTGCAATGGAGATAACTTCGTCCACCTCTACGATTGCCTCGGTCTGTCTGGCCAGGGTCTACGAGAACATGTACTATGACGAGGCCAAGTTACGCTTCGCGGATCAGATCGACGAGTTCATCAAGGACAAGCTGCTCTCGCCCGATATGGAGTCCAAGGTGCGCGTCATCGTGACCATAACAGCCTTGCTGAGTGGTCCCCTGGATGTTGGCAACCAAATTATCGCCAGAGAGGGTGAGTCTTACGAGTGAGGTGAGATTTGGATAGCTCGATTGACAACTGATCTTTTCGTAGGCATTCTGCAGATGATTTTGGCCATGGCTACCACAGATGATGAGCTGCAGCAGCGTGTGGCATGCGAGTGTCTGATAGCCGCCTCGTCCAAAAAGGACAAGGCCAAGGCTCTCTCTGAGAATGGCGTCGACATACTGAAGCGGCTATACCACTCCAAAAACGACGCCATCCGAGTGCGCGCCCTGGTGGGATTGTGCAAGCTTGGTAGCTACGGTGGTGGCGATGCAGCTATCCGGCCGTTTGGCGATGGGGCAGCCCTCAAGCTGGCCGAGGCCTGTCGCCGTTTCCTGATCAAGCCCGGCAAGGACAAGGACATCCGACGCTGGGCAGCCGATGGCCTGGCTTATCTCACGCTCGATGCCGAATGCAAGGAGAAGCTGATCGATGACAAGGCCTCCATTCAGGCTCTGATGGCGCTGACCCGCGGCGGAGACCAGTCCTGTCTGTACGGCGTGGTCACCACCTTTGTGAATCTGTGCAATGCGTACGAGAAGCAGGAAATGGTTCCGGAAATGATCGAGCTGGCCAAGTTCGCCAAACAGCACATACCCGAGGAGCACGAGCTGGACGACGTGGACTTCATTAACAAGCGCATCACGATCCTGGCCAACGAGGGCATCACTACCGCTCTCTGTGCGCTGTCCAAGACGGAGAGCCACAACTCGCAGGAGCTGATGGCCAGGGTTCTGAATGCGGTTTGTGGACTCCAGGAGCTGCGCGGAAAGGTCGTCCAAGATGGGGGCGTTAAGGCGCTACTGCGCATGGCCCTCGAGGGCACAGAGAAGGGCAAGAGGCATGCCTGCCAGGCTCTCGCCAGAATCGGCATCACCATCAACCCAGAGGTGGCGTTCAGCGGCCAAAGATCGCTCGATGTCATTCGGCCGCTGCTGAATCTGCTGCATCAGGACTGTACGGCACTGGAGAACTTTGAGGCGCTGATGGCCCTAACCAACTTGGCCAACATGAACGAAAGCGTGCGCCAGCGTATCGTCAAGGAGCAGGGAGTGTCCAGGATCGAGTTCTACCT